CAGTCCCCGGCCCGTTGTTGTTGTGAGGTGAGCTCCGGCGTTGGGGAGAAACTCAGCGACGTAAACTGTGACGTCATGACGCAGCAGCGGCAGCACCAGTCGGGCTCTGAGCGGTGTGAAAAGAGCCGGTGCTAAACCGAAGAACCGGTTCTGAACCAGAAAAGCTCTAGCACGGAGCTTGAACCGGAGTTGCGTTGGTGTGAAAGGGGCACTAGAGCACCTTTAGTACTTTTCACCGTACTTTTCGCGTTTAGTTCCGTGAGTACCCCTTATGTCGCGTTCACACCAAAAATCGTACTTAATCTCGGGTACTTTTACCCCCATTTTTAGAGCCCGCTGGGAGAGCGTACTTTTCTGTGGGTGAAAAGTGCCCCAAAAGTGCCCCAGTGCCTATTGGCTGGGCGAATTGCAAACCACGCCCGTACAACTCTGAAAATGTTGTGTGGAGACGCCATTGTTTTTCCTCGCTACAAAAACACAACGCTCCGTGCGTTGTGTTTGTTTTTGAAAGCAGTTATGGCAAGCATCAAGAAATGATGAGGAGGTGTCGGCGCTTCTGGAGATCTACGCCGAGGACGCGACCCAGGGAATGCTACTGAAGCCAGTTCAGTAGCTTTCACTCGACCTGGGAATTGTGCACAGCCGGCTAAATATAAAGAAACTCAGGACTACAAACGGCGGATTCAGTGGCCAACGATGACTACCACGACGAAGGTAAAATCAACTACATGCACTGGGGTTTTAATCTGCACAATAATGGTCTCAGATGTACTTTTATTTGCTCAGTAGATCAAGCTAGCCATGCTAGGCTGGATAGGCTAACACCGGCCCCGAGCTAGCTACATCTAGCTAGCTAGATATTCTCGGCCGCTCTGAAAACGTTTTGACTTGTGAATAACTGTGTAGTGTTTCTGTAATTTGCTTCACTAACTCATGGCACTAATCGTCTGTTTCAGGCGAGGATGGACAACTCTCGGGATTGGAAACAAGCGAGCTTTGCATTCTAGATCACAGCGCCTCGTCCTCCTTACCAGCAACCAAACGCAAAGGTACACACACTGTAACTTTGTCTTGAAAGAACGTTACGCATCGAACTGATGTTCACAATCATGTTTATTTCATAATATTCATCATATTTTATGTTTAACTTGCCTCAACAACATTAAACAAAGTTCAAGCATACATGAAGCACTCTTCAAAAAGGAACAATCCTCCGTGTTTGAACCTCTTAAATCGCTGCATAGCCGATTTATTTGGACTGGATTATCCCAGAGAGGCTAAACATTCTTTATAACACAGTTTCAGATTTGTGAAACCTTTAATTCTATTTGTGAAAATACAAAAAAGAGAGATTTTAGTGCTTTTTCGCATCCTGGCCACATTAGACCAGGTCCTGATCTACCACTATACCTAGACTCATCAAATCTGGACTGGATTATCCCAGAGAGGCTAAACATTCTTTATAACACAGTTTCAGATTTGTGAAACCTTAATTCTATTTGTGAAAATACCAAAAAAACATTCCTAGTATGTTGTAAAACTACATGGCGACTAAACAGATCTTGTATCTTGCTTATTTTCCCCTCTTAGGAAAGCGGACACGGGATGCGAATTTCTTTGACACCGCCCAGGCGTTGGAGGACCGGCGTGCCGTGGTGAAAGAGTCGATGCACGGGGATCAGATGGTGCTGTTCACCAAGGCCCAGGAAACGGAGGACAAGATGCTCACCAGTTCATTTTATATTATTGTTATTACTGTTATTATATAGTCTTGATACAACTGACACTTTATTTTATATTGATAATGTTAATTTACATGTACAACTTCTATTTTATTTACATTAAAAATGTGAACTTCTATTTACTGTTAAACAGATCCTGTAGCTTGCTTATTTCTCCTGACACTTTATCTTTAGTGACCTGTGTAGCATCCTATACATCACATGTAAGTGATTATTCTGATACCATCATGTTTCATCGGTTATAAACTGGCAAAGCTTTATTTGTCATTTATTTATCATCAATGTTGCAACCTTGTGGAGGAATGGCAGGGGCACATACACAAATATGATAATTTATATCATTTTAAATATTATTTGACCTAAAACTAAATGTTTTTATGATTGTCCTCTGAGGAGGACATGTGGATTTGCAAACTTTTAATTCCCCCCCCCATTTTACACAACACAAAATGGAGTCCACTATGGGCCGAAACTAACATGTATGTTTATGGCAGACGGACGCAGTGGGTCTCAGGAAGATATATATATATACTAATAACGGTGGGTTTGCTGCTGAGCCGATTTACTGTGCATACAACACACCTGGCACAGTTTATTGTTATTATATTGCCACACTGTACACTATTGTAATGTTGCCTGTCTTGACTGGAAAATAAAAGAGAAACAAGCACTGTACAAAAGATTAGCTTTATTGTCAAAATGTTTACAATTTACACGCTGTTCAGATGCCTCATAAAGCTGGGTCGCCCGTAAGGCAGTCCATTCGTCCCTGTACTCATTACTTTCACAAAGGTTATGTAATATGCAACATGCTGCCACCTGGATTGTGATCTTGTAGTCGTTTCTTTTCATCAAGCACCGCCACCTGCCCTTCAGTCTGCCAAAAGCGTTCTCCACCACCACTCGTGCTCGGCGAGTGCTTGTTATTGTACGCAAGTTGCTCAGGCTGCATTAACTCAGTTACAAAGCTGTATAACATGAGCACAAACAGCACAACTTCAGTCGACTCCATCTCCATCATGTCTGAGGTCGGAAGGTAAACAACAGACGCCTAATGTACAGCGAGTGGGTGGGCGTCGCAGTATACGCGGGAAGTTTTTCTTCTTCTTCTCTTGTTTTGCAGCGGATTGCAAACAACTTTAAGGTGCATACCGCCACCTACTGTACTCGCCGTGAAGTGGTTTGTGGCCTGCCAGTAAAGCCAAAGCAGAAGAAGAAGAAGTGACGTCAGCGGCTCATTTGCGTAATCTTCCCTCAGGGAAAAGTACTCCGGTGTGAACGCGATCTGTACTAAGTGCCCTGGGGTAAAAAGCGCCGGGGCTCTTAGTGCCGGAACTAAGTACAGGAAAGTACTTGGTGTGAACGCGGCTATTGTGTTCTTTTTAACCAAATATCTCTCAGAGGGGCGTGGGGAGTGGCTCCTTATTTTCATCTAAAGTAAAAGACATAGAAACAGAACTTTTGGAACAGGGCTGAAACAGAGGGGATTATGGGATGCTGCAATGATCTGTTTGGTATTTCGAGCAAAACACTTAAGAGACATGTTTTGTATATATCTGAGACCTATAATTTATTGATGAACTACATTATAATAGTGACACCTTTAATGTGGCTCATTAACTTGAATTAAAGACAAGCCACATTCAATTCTGCCCTTTACTATTTCACACTGGGCAAGTAGCACAAATATACATGTGAATTCAAAAACAATGCATGATTTGGATATTCACTGAAGAAATAAAACCTATGAAGAAATGTAATACCAAGCAATTTGACGTATATATTGTTGAAATGTAATATATGAGTATAGTAAGATAAGTAAGATAACAAACCATCTCAAAACCTCCGTAATTAGATAATTTGCATGTTTTTGGTGGATGTCTTAGGTCACCTTTGAGGGGTTTTAAACTATTAACACAACAATATCAATTAGTTTCCCACATGGCCTGTGGTACATTGACTCTAAGTCCACCTATCACTGAATGTTAGTGGAGAAGCAGGCCATTGTTATACTTCTGACAACAACAATTTGAGAAGCATTAACTTGCTTTCATATTGTGGAGGTTTTTAGAGGCTCTGTACTTACATGACAAACAGTTTGTTCTGGTCTTCAAACAGCATTCTTTTTTAAGTGTGAGGGGGCACAAAACAAAGTGACTCACAAAATGACTTGCAGTGATGTGATGGATTATCCTCCCTACACCATTTACAAGGAACTTATAGATCAAATGTGTTAAATGTCAATAAATCAACGTGAAATGTCATAGAACTATCTTGGGAAACCGAATATATTGAGTTAGAATGTGACGAATGAACGTTTTTCATACAGGAGAAATGCGTCCAAGATGGCGTCCAAGAATGGTATGTGAGTAGAGTAACAGACCGCACTGCGACCAATGCAATCCAGACGTCAATTCAGGGCATGCTGTGCTGGTGATGGACGTCCACCAACAAATGGGAGAAACATTTGGTCATTTATCTCCTCCACCCCCTTTCTTAACTGTGCCTATCTGATGAGTAGAACAACACCCCCGTGAATTGTGGTCATGTGTATCTGTATTTGTGTAGATAATAAAGAGGGTTTACAGTATTTAACAGAAAGCACCTATTTTGATTGGCTTTAACTTACATTTCCGACCTTACAGTTCCATTTATTTGGCAAAAACAGAGAAGAGGCAATGTTTTCCTTCAAATGTTATGAACTTCTTCTCTGGCTGTCTTACAACCTTTTGTCATATTTTCCAATGCTTTATTGACGAGTCGAGAGGTACAGCTGAATGTATTTCTCTTCAAAACCGGCTTATGGGTTAAATGGCTGCCAGAGATCGTTTTCACATTTTTCCATGCAAAGCTTCTCCAACTCTTTAAATTGTTCCACAAACAGTCTCCCCAACTGAACCCGAGTTTCTGCTTGCACACACTCCAAGGTGGTTGTTTGGAGGACAAGTACCAGAAGAAGAAGTGTACCTCATCAAGAAGTGATTGATCTGTAAAGGTGATAAACATTGTAAAAGGTGAAGGTGTTATTTAGAGCATCTTACTTGTTTCGTGTAATAGTTGTGTTCTTTGTTGCATTTTGGCTAGTTAACAGTAGTTTTTGGATGTTGCTTGCTCAGAAATCCATACCGATGACTCCTTCAAATTATGTGACGACCTGACTAAAGTTGAAGCCTCCCCTCCTCCCTCTCCTTCTCTCCATCTACCCCTCGCTGTCTCTCCTCCCCCTCCCTCCTTCTTTCCCTCTGTGTTTTTCTCCAGAGACCTCCAGCTTTTGAACACCACACTGTCTTACCTACTGGCCTTCCACCCCACGCACACAAAGATAGAGAACCACAGGTAAGCTTGCATGTGGTTGCATGGATTCATGAGTTCCTGTTTGATTGTTTCTCTGTATTTCTGTTTTCCGGGTGAGATTATCAGCTGTCACTGTCAGGCTTTTGGGTAGTGGCTATTGCTGAAACAGAGAAGGCAAAAATCCCAGTGCATGGAACAAAAAGAAAAAACATTTTAGAAGTTTGAGGATTTGCATAATGTTTCAGAAAAAAATGTGTATTTAGCTAGATCTTGCATGTTTATACAGATCTGCAGTGGCTATTTAAACTGTTTAATAGTTTTCTGTGACTTTGGGGAAGGATCTGTTCTGCACTTGGATCCAGTTTCTGCATTTTTTATGTGTCTGGAACTAATCAAACATGTTCTGCATTGTCTGCAGGGTTGATGTTGTACAGTCATGATCCTAAACTAGTTATATGTCTGATTTAAGTTGTTTATTCTGTTGGTTTTCTTTGTTGTTTATAAAATGAAAGGATTAACATCCCTGTATTTAGTGCTTCATACCATCAACATATGTTTAACGTGAGTGCATTGATGTACGTATATCTTTATCATGTACTACTCAAACATCTGTTTTGCATTATTGCTCAATAGCTTGTTTGTGTAGAAATGTACCAAGTTGATAGATGAAGTGCTGCAGATGAAGTAATGCAGTTAGGTTGAAGCTGCAGCTGCAATGATGTGGCTCGACACAGATAATTGAATCAAGAAATCTTGCACTCATTGGACTCTTTTGTGTTATAGTTTTATTTTATCCTTCATTTTTTAATTTGATGCATTAATACATCCTACTTTGGCTTTTACTATGAGGCTTTTATAAAACATATCCATTAATTAGGGTTAGGGTTCAATGCTGTTATAAGTTAACATTTGTTGCTTTTGACCCCTCTTACCATTCTAACATATCTTCTGCTTTCACTTTCCTTCTGTCTGTTGGATCTCCAGAAGTAATGTTACCTCTTCGTCTACCCCTGTTGTTCCTATTGGTCAGTGTGGCCCTGTGCCAGTATGATGATTATGACTACCAACCTGCTTCCCGGTATGGGCCCTCAGGACCTAACTGTCATCAAGAATGCGACTGCCCATACAACTTCCCGACGGCCATGTATTGTGACAGCCGCAAGCTCAAGTTTGTTCCAGTAGTCCCTTCAGGAATCAAGTACCTGTACCTTCAGAACAACCTGATAGAAGAGATCAAGGCAGGAGTGTTCGATAATGTTACCGATACCCTTCGCTGGCTGATACTTGACAACAACCAGATTACCAATGCTAAAATAGAAAAGGGCACAATCGACAAACTCAGTGCCCTGGAGAAGTTATTCTTCAGCAACAACAACCTGACAGAGCCAGTCATCCCTCCCTCAAAGTCCCTTGACGAGCTGAAGATTATGCACAACCAGTTGTCCAAGTTCCCTTCTGGACTGTTGAGTGACAAGGAGAACTTGACCTCCGTCAATGTTCAATACAATCAGCTAACCTCTGATGTCATTGGGGGGGCATTTAAAGGGCCGAAGAAAATGCTGTCCCTGGATGTGAGCCACAACAAGCTGAAGAAACTGCCGGCTGGAGTGCCCGGTTCACTGGAAATCCTCTACGCTGACCACAACGAAATTGAAAGTGTTGGAGCAGGGTACCTAGGCAAGCTTCCCTTGCTGCAGTCCCTGAGGATCTCGCACAACAAGCTGGTGGACTCCGGAATCCCTGCAGGAGTGTTCAACGTGACTTCACTGGTGGAGCTGGACCTGTCCTTCAACCAACTGAAGTCCATCCCTGAGATCAACGAGAATCTGGAGCAACTCTACCTCCAGGCCAACGAGATTGAAAGTGAGTGGAAACTCTTTACTCTTGTTTGACTATTTTTCTAAAGGTGCTTTGTGGATCTCTTTTCATGTTATGTCTACATTTAGTATGCCTCACAAAAGGTTTCCTCATCATAAAATGTGTAAAGTCTACTATTTGGAATATTTGAAATTGTGAACTGTTTAAAACCATGTATGCTAGAGTATGGTCGTCCTATTTGCTTTCTTTGCAGGCATATTGCTATGATTCTTTGGGCGTTATTGTCAAAGCATACCTTTTGAAGCCTCGTATAAGAGGTTTTGATGGTATATAATAACTTTTGAGTAATTTGTTTTTCTGCCAACATCCACAACCTTCTCTCCATTTTATTTGTTTGCAGAATTTGACCTGACAAGTCTTTGCAAGTATGTGTCGACTACAAGCTTTTCCCACCTGAAGCATCTGCGTCTGGATGCTAACATGGTCACTCACAGCAGCATGCCCCCTGAAACCTCCAACTGCCTGCGCGTGGCCTCAGATATCATATTTGAATAAGGACCTCCCTCAAATCTATGCCCTCTCCATGACCCCCTCTCCACTACGATGACACAGATCAGTCCAAAGGCTTCTGGATTCAAATGATGTAATATCTGTAATGTCATCTTCATCATATTAATTCATATCTGGAATTAATCAAGAGCTGGGCAAATTTGAGATACAATATATGGCAATACAAGCTATCAACAATTTGGCAACATATCTCACCAAACATGCAATAAAACGTTTGGATTCATCAAACATCGTACAAGAATTTGGGATATTTGGCTCAAGGTATGATGTGTGATCTCAGTGTTCTAATGAACATGAAGGTATACAAAATACAAACAAATGTAAAAATTAAAGGACCAAACGTTTTATGAATAAAAATGTATTCATTTACTTTGATAATAAACACACACTTTACACATTCCAAACTTGAATTTGGTGATATTGAATACAGACCGAATGGAGTGAAAAATGGCTCCAATGTCTTAATTCAGTCGTCAATCGTGATTTTGTTGTCTGTCTTGTGTGTTCCAATGTTAAGCATGTATAATACAATGTGGGTACAATAATTAATCCATTGCTGTGCAAAGGACCAGTAAATAAAGGACTGCGTTCTCAGATTCCAATGTATAATGCCTGATGTAAGAAATTATGAGCAAATGTAAAGAGCAGTTACATAGACGTATCATTTGTAAACAACTTTCAAAATACCAGTGTTTGTTAGTCGTGTCTGCCTTCTTCATAAATGGTGCATTGGCTGAAATACCATGTTTTCTGAATGATTGACTTCTTTGAGCTATAAAATAAAACAAATCGATAATTAAACCCAACCAATAAACATCCTTAATGCCCAAGAGAAGAAGAGAAGAATGAAGGAGACATGCTTAAAAAACATTGGTACTAACCTTGAAACGACTTACTCTGCTCAGTTAAACCTTGAGGTGATACTGTAGGAGGTTTTTCTGGAAATCATGTCAAATGTTTCTTAACGTGAACTCATTTCTAGCTGTCTACTTTTATGTGCATTGCTGATTTGTATACATTTGCATTACCTGCATGCAACCAATGGTACCATTCTTTTATAATAAACTACAGCTTTTGCAGTTAAGGCGCTTTCATTGTTATGTTGTTGTTCACCATGTTTAAAAATGGCTTCTTATTAATACAACTTGGCAGCAGTGTCATTTGGGTTGATGTTATTAGAATAATGTTTTTTTGAACGTGATTTTTTGTGTGGCCTTTGACTTGGTAACCGCTCTTGGATTTGCTGTGAGGAAACCAAACAGAGATCAATAAACTATGTTTCCAACATATTTGTATGATGAATAAATGTTGAGCATGTATGGAAACAAATTTGTGAAGTCATCTCATTTTATTGAGCATAAACATAATTAACATTAAGGATTGCCCTGTACATTTAATGTATTTGCTTATCTAAATGTACTCAAAATATACTTCTAACAATAGTTAATGTTTTTTGAATAATGGTTTATTAATTGTTGGTAAAGCAAACATTAATTCTATATAAATCCAAAGATTATAAAAGAAACATATATATTTAGCTAATTTAATAAAACTATTAGTTATGCAGGCTTTATAAGGTATGTTTTATTAAAAGTTGTATGAATTAACCAAATGTTAGTATTCTTTGCATTAATGTCCCTGACCACACAGTGAATTTGCTGTACCCAAACCTTGAATAATAATAATAATCGTATTGCTCTTCAATGGTTAAACCTGTAGTAGGAGTTACATTATAAAACCAATCTCTCACAGTCTGCTTTTAGGAACAAGCTGAAGCCAAGAGAAAGCAGCCAACAAACAAAACAACAAGTTAATGGAGAATACGTCCATTACTACTGGGCATGATTATTTCCACATTACTTCTTATCCTGTAAAGTGTGCTTTTTTTGGCAGCTACCATCTTCCTTTCTGGCCTTAATCTTTGAGATTTACAAAAGGAAAAGGCTTTTTAAATGGATGGAATATTTATTTATTCTCTATAAGGTCTGTTGTTTATTTTTCAGGTATACAGTTTACATACAGGGCCCAACTGTTTTCAAGGAGTCATACCTTGTGGCTTTCCCCTGTATCACGGTTTGCCCATATTTACATTCATGTACTGTAGTTACAGAGAGAACCTATGATCTGTCCCCCATTTCGAAGCTGACGAATGAAACAAAAAAACAGCTGGTCCTGGAGGGATGCAGGGGTTGCAGGGTTTAGCACATAACCGCAGTTATAAGCTTTGTTATTTCAATGAAATGAATCTTGGATTATTCTTTGGCACAAATCAATTATTATTTTTAGGAGCACATTAACAAATGTGGTGGTCTGTATTTTGAATATTTATAACTTCATAAAGTTGTCAACTCTTGCTGTGGATTGTTACTGTGAGATTTAGCTGCGGTTTAAAACAAGCTATTGTGCATGTGGCATTGTGTTACTTAGTAATAATGGACACTAAACTGGAGCAACATTCTTCATCAGAAAAAGACTCTGGATTATGTCAAAGCCTAAAATGTCTGCTATTCATTATTAGTTGATGTCTTCCAAACAGTATCAGTGTCCAAAAAGTCTGGGAGCAACTGCAGACTATTCTCCTAGTTTTGTACTTCTGTAATCGTAAGATTTAAATAACGTTTTTATTCCACAGTATTGAAAGACAAGACGTTAAACTGACTATTTCATAGTCAATTTCTTAGGATGTATTTTTTGACATAAACCTGTCACTTCATTTAAAGTATAGATTGTGCCCTTCCAAAACTGTGCACCAACTGAAACAATTACCACTAATTTATGTTGATGTGTACCACATGTGCTGACACCACTAGTTTCTTCCAAAAGTCTTAGTCAAGAGTTCCTTACTAGAGCAGACACTATTTAAGATGGTTAGTTGATTCGATTCCTGGCATTTATACAAATTATGTAAACGGCTTCCAGATGTCCCATTTGATTTAGGCTACTGCTAGGTGTTTGTAATTAGATCCAGCTGTAGGGTTGAGTTTCATTTTATTTTGACTCGCTTATGTAAATGAAAGTCGTCTGTCTTTAAGGTGCCGAGTGGTCATTTAAATACCCAACACTTCCTTATGCCATTTAATACATCTTGGGAGGTAAAGATATTATCAGTCTACTCACAACCACTACCATTACAACATGCTACATGTTTGTTTTAGCAGCTTTCACATTTCCCCTGTTTTAATATGGTCATTCTACCGATCTCCAATCTAGGACCATTTCCTCCTCTTCCTCCTGTGTTACCCTTATTTAAATCATGAGTGCAGCTCCTGCTGCCCGTGTCTAGACAATAAAGTCCTTTTATAAAACCTTAAACCTCACATCCTCCTGCTTGACGATAAGTGAAAGTATTATCAGCTGTTGAAGACTGGCAGCCAAATTCCAAAGACCCTCCTTTAGTCCAGACCACCTCCAGCTGTTCTATCTTTTTTACCGCTGTTGTTATTATTATTCCTTGTCTCTAACTTGTCTTTAGAGTCTCAACTCAGACGTTTCAGAATTGCTGTTTGCTATCTCCCTATCTCTTGTACATTCTCATCCTTTTCCCTTAAAGTTTAGACAGATGTGTATACACACTGCTGGAGAACAGTGACAGATAGAAGGAGGGGTGTCAGCAGCGAAGCGAAAGATTGAAGCAACCCTAACCCTAACCCTGGAGGGTCAATGACCGCTACATAAAAAGAAAGAGCTAGAAACTCCAAACTTGGTACACACAAGCAGGGGGGAGACACATGCACGCAAATCAAATGTGTTGATTGTACCACTTACCGTTCCGCTGTTATATGAGGATCATACCTTTTTGCAAGAATGGGTTTCAATGACCGCTACATCAAAGGAAAAAGCTAGAGGCGCCAAACTGGGTACACGTGACAGGAAGGAGGAGACCATCAGAGACGCCACATTTCATGACTCTTGCACTCACCGTTGGGGAGTTTTTTTTTTTGTATTCTAACCCCTATTCCAAACCCTAACCCTAACCCATAAGGAGCTGAATTATCGAAATAGGTTAAAGGCTCCACGTTTACTGGAATTACACATGTCCATGATATTTTATGGATAAGCCAATATAAAACGAATCAAGTAGAACTTTAGTATTGCCTATCTTTGATAGTGATCTGGGGCTCCTGCTCTACCGCACTAGACAGTGTTGTATTTCGGAGCTGTTTCTGGTATTGACCAGGTGTTCAAATTCTCTACAGTGACAGTCAATCATATATTATCCCTTATAGGCATCATGGGAAAAACTGCAAAAAGAAGACATGTGTTTGAAAAAGAAATGAATTAATCCACCTGTAAAAAGTCTGGTGTGAATGTCTGAATGAAAACCCCCCTAAGCTCCTCTGTAACTTCACCTGACAGCCTACAAAACACACCGAACGGCCTGTGAGCTGAAATGAGCCATGAAATGGTCGTGCACCCATCCCCCCCCCCCCCTGCAAGCCCTCCTTCCTTTGTCGACCAAATGGTTAAGTTGGGTGGAGTGACAGCAGATTCACACTTAACGCCACACTGATGACTTCACATTTTACAAAAAACAAGGGGACAAAACAAAAAGAGGCGGAAAAAACTGCTGGGCTGGCAGAAAAGTAGACAACACCATTTCTGAAAGGACATCCCAACTCTCCCACAATTGTCCTCCCACAGACAACACATGCTCCATCCTCTTGGTTCAACTGGTGTCCAAGGTGCAGCCTTTGGGGAATTAAACTTACAACAATACAAGTGTAACAGGGGACACTCATCAGAGTTCATTGGAAAAACAACAAGAACCAAACAGCACCTGACTGAATGCAGACCTCTCACACCTGTTTGGGGAGCAGGTAAACGTACATACTTAATACATCTGTTTAAAGGCTTGGGCAGTGCAGTTTTCAAATGTTTTTTATCTGAATTATCTTCATCTTTTGATGTGCTGCACCTTGCTAGCATCTGTTCCAGTACTTGCAGTTTAAATGTAAAAGGGGTGAAGGAACCTTGGAAATTAAAAAAAGTATTTGAAAGTGTTTATGGGCATGTTGTTACATGCCGTTTTTCTTTAATTTGGTCTAGTTTATGAATTACAATGCTTAATGTCCGGACATAGATAGATTGATAGACACAATTGTAATCAATCATTTTGCTAAACTATGGCTCAAGTGTATAAATAACACATATCTTGGAAAGTAACTTTCACAGCCAAACCAGTTATTTTCCACATTATAATTATCCATAAACACAGTTACTTTCTCAGCTTTATAGGCAGAAAGCCATGTGAACTTTTCCAAATGTTTCAAAGTCATGTGGATTTAAGTAGAGCCTTCAAATGAAACCGATCCTGCAAAATGTATGCAGTTAATAATGATTAACATAGCTGGCTCGGACACAAAGCCCCTTGCAGGAAATCAGCATTATCATATTCCTCTGCATGTGTTACTTCTCAGTCTACCAGGCAGATTGTAGTCAAGATTTATTCATAGTAATATATATTTATTTAAGATGAGATACATAAAGCCCTGAATGACAATTTTCAATGGTTGGGATGTTCAATTTTAAATCTTCATACGCATTATTAAAGAGTTGTTTGTTGTAAGACTGGAATAAGTATTTGGTTACTTACTATTTAGTTCCCTGTAAAAAACAGATATGTCTCCTTTTGGTGTAATTGCTGACTAATTCATGATTGAATTCAAAAACGTTATTAAGGCTGCTGGTTGGCCATAGTAGTAGAGTGGCTGAGTTATTGGTAATAGAGGCTTCAGGCTGTCCTGTTGCTTTTAGACTGAGACTATTAGTAGCTTCTGCTGCCTGTCTGCAAACTGGTTTGAGAAAACATAATCTTATTTAATTGTTATGCATTCAAAAAGCAATTATATACTTTTTACTTTCAGAAAAAATGATTATGGATATCTCTAAATAACTACACATGCTGTGATTAAAAGATAAAGAAATGGAGAATGGCATGCAAGGAAGTGAGGTTTACTGTCCTAAACAGCCAAGATATTTAGTACAGTAAAGTTTCCATTCATCTTAATAGGAATGTGTCTTCAAAGTACAGTTTCTCTTAATGTGCGGAGGGCAATCACCGTTCACAGACACACCTTGGCAAACAGAGGAGGAGCTCTGATGGGATTGCATGGCTGATCATGGATAAGTGTTGCCCCTATCCTCACACAACTCAACTGGGATTATCCTACTACATTCAAGCCTTTACCGGCGTCATCCCTTGGAATCAGCACGATCTCATGCGAGCATGTTTAAAGGTCACCAATCCTTACGCTGGCTAGTTTCTACATACACAATTTGCCAGGTCAGTGTGCAGTGAAATCCCCAAGATTATGCCTGACCTCCCTCCTATTAAACCATCACCTTACATGTCTGAAGACAATGTTTTGTAGTTAAGCAGTCTTTCATCTTAATGCTTTAGCAGTATTCTCTCTCTTTCAATGTAAACTAAGGTATTCATCAAAACAATTTACCCCTAACGCTAACAGCCAAATATGTATGATGCCCCACTTGTTACGAAAAAAGTAGGTTTGACTAAATTGAACCCCATGACAATTCAAAATGCTGTTGCATTCAAATGATATTCAGTATAAAAGGGTCCATCTTTTTGACACAAGTGAGGTCCATTTAAACATTTACACCAAATCTGACCCAAAATGTATCAAAGTAAGGCCATATCCTTCCAGGTGAATGATGGTGATCATGTGCTTAGAGTCTTGATCTAATTGGCATCTCGCTGGCATTCGGAGACAATCCTCTCTGCACCACAATTATAATGAGCTCTACTTGTTGACTTTGTGTACATTTTAAAATCTCTGTTGACTGCAAACAAGGTCAGACTTTACAACTTGCATAGATTTGCAGGTAAATGAATCCTGAATCCGATCGCACCTTGAACCCTGGACAAAAGATTAACAAAGGACACCAAGGGCCAACAAAAAGAGGACGGGTTGTGAAGCCAACAAACAAAGTACACTTAGGCTTGTATTAGCCTGTTTGTAAGTGGGCCAGGTCTTGGCTTAGCACATTATATACTAACATGGGATTATGACCTTTGATCCTGAGAGAATCTCATTGGCCAGGGGAAGCTTTGGTGTCATCATGAGTCACAGGTTGAATGAAAAACGTGTGGTACAAATACAGAGAGGAGAGAGGTACAGCCTCATCTTTTTGGACTACGCCCAATAACTTGCTGAGGAACAGCAACACAGGCAAAAGGGACTTTACCAAGTTCAAGGTAAGATGGGTTTTTGGAAAGCAATGGACAATGAAACATCTGTTTGACATTGTTAGTAGTTTAGTAGAAGTTTGTCTTTCGACAACTGATTGGATTTTACCTTTGTGGAAGCATGGATCAGGCTTTTATTATTTGCTCCACATTTCGTATCCCAAAGCTGTGTCAAGAAGCTTTGACTGCTGTACAGTGAGAGAACAAATCTTTAAAAGCAGGTGTGCCGACTTTGACTTTGAAGTGCGTCCATCCTTGGAAAAGTGTGGCCTACCCCAAAATGAGTTCCAGACAAACGTTGAGTGCATCAAGAATGTAAACAAGCACCAGATGGCAGCTGAGATGAATCAAGAACATGCTTATAGATGGTTGGAACGAAGATGATAGCTGACTTCAGATTATGTTCATTTCACCACTCTTTTTTGTTTTTACCCTTCTCTGTTACATAGCATTGATTGTATTGCACTCTTAGAACTTTTTGTACCCCTGTTTATAGTTGTAGCATCAATAGCATTGTTGTATCAGCTGTACAAAACAAAGCAAGTGGACTTCCAGATCCATTGTAAACGTAGCTATACATGTTACGATGAACGTCTATTGAATATTGTGCATCTTACAACTGACATGCTAAACCTGAGCTTCAAGATTGTCCTAATGCAATTAAAGTTGACCTGGCTCTGCATCCTGTCTTTTAGCTCAGTTTGTCATTGGCAGGCAAGGCAATGATCTTAAAAAAAATGTGTTACCTCGCTCTGTTGGCACCTGCCATTGGAATTGAACTATAATGACATTAGTGGTAGAGCATGTGAAATGTTGCTAATTTGGGCCAGAGTTTAACTAATTTTGGATGTGTGCTAGCCGTATGATTAACAGCATTTAAAGTGACTGTTTTTCATATTTCTAGAGTGAGAAAGGCTAATCTAGGATCAGGATTCTCAAATGCAAACAAGTATGGGTCATCAGTTACAATGGGGTTATGATTTCTTAGGATCTTATCTGATCCTCTTTACCTTGGATGTCTAGCGCATTCAGATGTCTATTTGCCCTAGTCTGTCTTAAAACCTGTGTAACACAAGGTAGCACATTTTTGTCTATAATATTTTCTCTCTTTTCCTCATAGATTTGGAGGAAAAATGGCACTTCTCCTGGGCCTTCTCTGCACCTTGTGCCTGGTTGGGCAAGTTCTTGGCCAGGACATAACTCATGAGGAATATTTGGCCCAGATCCAAGCCTGCCCTCAGGAATGTAGCTGTGCCCCCAACTTCCCTCGTGCTGTCTACTGTGACAATAAGGGCCTGAAGAGTATTCCCCAAATTCCTCCACACACATGGTATCTTTACCTGCAGAACAATTTAATCGAAGTGCTGTCAGCAGATGCCCTTCGTAACGCCACACAGCTGCGCTGGCTGAACCTGAACCGCAACAAAATCACTAGTGAAGGAGTGGAAGAAGGTGTCCTAAGTACAAAGCCTAACCTGGCGCACCTCTACATGGATGACAACCTCTTGTCCTCTGTGCCATCTGCCCTTCCAGCCAGCCTGGAGTCTCTACGTCTGTCCCGCAATCGCATCTCCAAGATCCCTCCTGGTGTCTTCATTGGTCTGGATAAACTTAACCTCTTGGACCTCCAGGCGAACAAGCTGATGGATGATGCTGTGACCGAGGTGAGCCTGAAAGGTCTAAACAACTTGGTACAGATCAACCTGGCCAAGAACCAGCTGAATAGCATGCCTATTGGCTTACCTCCCACCACTACCCAGCTTTTCCTTGATGGCAACAACATTGAGAAGATCCCCGCTGGCTACTTCAAAGGTTTACCAAAAGTGGCCTTTCTGAGGCTCAACTACAACAAGCTTGGCAGCAGTGGAGTTCCCAGAGATGTGTTTAATGTCTCCAGCATTTTGGATTTGCAGCTTTCCCACAACCAGCTGACTGAGGTTCCCCTCATTCCCGCTGGCCTTGAACACCTTCACCTCGACCACAACAATATAAAAAGTAAGTCGGACATTAACCAAAAGCACCTACTGCTACTTGTTTTGATGCATTTATTGTGTAGATACATAGTGGGTTCGTTCTATGTGTCAATTAAATAGGATTGTGCATCAGAGAGGTATCCTGAAATGCTTTTGTAAGTCATTTATTGCCTTTGTTTTTACAGGTGTAAGTGGCGCAAACATCTGTCCTGTCGCCATTGAGACTATGGAAGACTCCGCCAACGAAAGTGTTCCTCGTCTGCGCTACCTCAGACTGGACGGCAATGATATTAAGCCACCAATTCCCAGAGATGTCATTCTGTGCTTCCGTCTCCTGACGTCCATTGTCATCTAAGATCGAAAAATCTGCATGTTCTAGGAAAATTCAAATTTTCTCAAAAATGGTGATTATCTGTGAATATGGCATGAGTCATATTTGCACCTATGAAAGTTTCTTCAGTTCCAGATACTATTTACATTTTTCAGAAAAATTCTACAAGGAACATTTACAAGGAACAAAAGATTTAAAAACGATTGGCGCTTTGTTGACCACTACTTGTGCCTTATGTTGGTGTAACATCTTTACATACAATTCAGAATTACAATCTGATTATAATGTAGCATGACAGTGATTAAGATGGATAGGAGAACAAAATGTGTTAATAGCAAGTTGAGGACTCATTATTGTATTATTCTTTTTTATAATATTTCAGGAAAACCTTAGCTTTATTGTAGACTTGAAGCCAAATCAATGTCTTATTTACTTTGGACAATGCTCTATTTTGCAGATATGCATATTTACCATAGATAATAATTAGATTTCATATTTTAAGGAAATATGTAGAAACCTGTGAATATTCATGGCCAAAATCCATAAAACAAAAGCAATACATGTTTATGTTTTTAAATGTCAAAACGTATTTTTTAATTTTGGTAATTATTTGTCTGAATGAACCGAGCAAGAGATTGTATTTTATTGTCTTCATTTGAATAAAACATCTGAAAAAAACATGAGAAAATGCCCTTGTCTAATTTGTCATTTTATGTACAACTCCCTCATTTAAATTACCTTAAAATCAACCTTAAATATAAGAAAAATAACACTATTGGTGGTATTATGTAGTTCTTTAACCAAATTCTACTTGAGATATAACATCTTAAAACATCATTAGGAAATTAACATACAGTATATCATCATCCACATACCATCTCAAACCTGTACACCAGTAACAGCAAACTCCTATTATATTTGTAGTCTGTCTTAAATGTTAAATGACTTTTCAAGTTTGTAAGAAATTCCCCCTCTCTGGGGCTTATGGGCAGGGGCGGACTGGCCATTGGGAATACCGGGGTTTTTCCCGTGGGCCGGTCGGACAATTCACTAGCACCCCCCCCCCCCCCCCCCCCCCCCCCCCCCCCGTTGTCAATTGACTAGCGGTACCGAGTTGGGCCGGTCGGCCGGTCGAGTTTCCCGGGCTGATTTTTAGTCCCAGTCCGTCCCTGGTTATGGGGGTTGAACATTTATGAAAAATGTTCGCCACATTTAAGATGTGGTCAGAGAACTGCCATTGTACCTTGTAAAGACTCCATTATCATTTTCCATTGTGCAAAGAAAATACATTCTAAATAAATTTTTTAACATTTGATATATCCGCACCGGTTGATCCAAAAATTACCTCTCAAATATAATCCATGTTTCTGTTGGCATAACAATTTTATCTCAAAGTTCATTACTAAGCTTCTACATAGGGGATTAACTCGACAGACTTCTCATGTCTTTAACAATGCACTCTGTATGGATATTTGTATTCAATGCTTGGCAGAAGAAAACTCCATGAATATGAATCCCAGCCTATATGGCGGGTGCAGAAGGATTTCTGGCTTTCTCGCTACGTCCTTTTCCCCTCACTCATCAAAAGGTCTAGAGTTACCATGGGAGGGAAAGAGAGGAGTGGGCAGGTTGAGACAAAATCGTTGCCAAATAAAGCTGACAGTGCAAATCTGGGCAGTACTGTGTGTTTCTTTTTTGTTTTGTTTTATCAATGCCAACTGAAGACAGTCTATTTAGCATATCCTTGAACACACCCACATTGGTACAGAACTGGAAAATAAGTACTTCCCGAGGGGATCTTCCTCCCTCACCCCGAAGAAGTTCATTCTCTGTCATGTCATGGTATAGTATCCCACGACTGAACTACATTCTGTAGGTGAGCCACGACCTTAAGCAAGCAATGGGGCAAAGAGAAAAGCAGCTTCAACGGAGAGGGAGGGCAGAGGCCTTTCTCCAAGAGGGGACTTCCTCTCAGCACCATGCTAACAGGGGCTCCTCACAGAGCTCCCATTGTGTGCTAGGGCCCGTGGATCCCCCCCATACATGAAAGCAACACATGCCAGAGTTTCACTTCAGGAAAAGGCGGACAAATATTTCAGTCTGATTGAGCTCTTAGAAAAATAAAGGATACGCTTGTAAGGGATAAAAAGTTTTTTTGCCATTGGGGGGGCCTTTGCTCTCTTTTTCTTTCTGTGTCTGGTGTCTGTATATATAACTGTGTGTGTGTGTGTGTGTGTGTGTGTGTGTGTGTGTGTGTGTGTGTGTGTGTGTGTGTGTGTGTGTGTGTGTGTGTGTGTGTGTGTGTGTGTGTGTGTGTGTGTGTGTGTGTGTGTGTGTGTGTGTGTGTGTGTGTGTGTGTGTGTGTGTGTGCGTAGTGTTTAAGGGGGTCGTGCATGTGGGTGTACGGTATGGGGTGGGTGCACTCTGACTGACCAAAAGCAATCTGCTCTGGTCCAATCGGTCTCAGTGCCTACCTTCACACATAAGCAGCAGGGCACTCAGGTCTGCCTAGCGCACAGACCTACACCTACACACACACACACACTTGTCACACACTTCACACACACACCCTCCCCTCGTCAGGGCACCCTGCTCGACCTCTCACCATTGGCCAAATCCCGGAGCCCTCAGCATCTCCATCACGGCTGAAGGGACCATTCGGGAAAGCAGGAGACAGAGGTAAGCGTTCTTGGTGTATCTTCATGCTGGCTCAATGGATCTTTGGTGCAGGGGATTAGGCAGGCAAGAGAGGGTCTACTTGCCCCTCCAAAAACACAGCTATTCAGGATTTGCAGTGGATTGGTTGTTGGTGCAGCAGCTTTATTTTCACTCAGGGATTCGCTTTGGTGACTTAAATGTGGAACTTTGTTGTCCTTTGGCAATAGCAGTGGTTGAAATATGTTCGATGGTAAAAATAAAATGTAAGTTTCAGTAGATGTGATTCAGGTGTGCGTGCCCGACAGGTGTCTTTTTTTTGGGTTGTTAACAACAAAAGTGACACTGAACTATTTTGCAGTTTTGACAGCTGCAGCATTGATTTGACATAATATCTTATCATGCATGCATTTTGCCTCAAGAGATTCTACGAACTTTTCCCTCAATTTCTGCTTTAAAAAAATGGTATATATTTTTTTTTAATTAGCTCCCACTAATTCCAGAAATTGTGCTGATAATCTTATTTGTAGTTCATATTTTTTTAAATTAAGATTTATTTATATGTGTCACTTACTTTATCGCAGTTTTTAAGTTCTTTTAGGCCTATTAGGAATACAAATAAACGTGTTGGCAGTTTGTTGTTCAACCTGTAGCAACAGGATGTGTGTGAAATGTGTTTAAAGGTAAAGACGCTAGAATGAGTGGATATCAGGAATGCCCAACACGGAGCCAAGCATAACACGGAGGTAGTCCGGAGGCTACACTGATACACACACATACACAGTTTGCACACACAGCACACTGTGATGGCCTGTATAAGCACACCTCTGTCTCCAGTATAGTCCCTCTTTCAGTGTAGCCATGCTGGATTTCATAGCCTCATGACAGAAAGTCTATTTCAGTGTGGATGCTGACCAGTAAGCACACCTTTTCTCAATAGGGTGCACTCAGTTCATGTTGGTCATTTCCAAGAGATAATGACAGGAGTGTGTGCATCATTAGTCAATCCATCTGATATCAACAAAGATTTGATTCATGACTTAAATAACCTGTGCTGGTCAGTTTTTTTTATAATCTGTCCTCATCCCAAAAATAGCAGCAGAGGTTTCTTAATATTCTCTCTCTGAAAGATAGGTGTGTTAAGACAGAGTGTGCATCTGTGCAAGGATGTGTCTTTTAAAGTGTGCGTGTGAATGTGTGTGCGTTGTAGCACCCTCACTCCTGAATGAAGCTTTTCCTTGCAGCCGTAACTCACTGCCATCCTGTCCACAAACCTCGGTGGAATTTGGAGTTTGAGTGCTGAGACAGGCAGCCACCGGGCCTCATAAAGGCCCTCTGTAAAGGGTGAGGGGTCGAGTTAGCATAGAAACCTGTCTCTCTCTCTCTCTCTCTCTCTCTCTCTCTCTCTCTCTCTCTCTCTCTCTCTCTCTCTCGCTCTCCCTTGCTCTCTCCCACTCGTGAATCTTTTTCTCACTCTCTCCATCTAACCCTGAGGGCCAACACCTTGTCCACATCTCTTCTCTTCTTTCCTCGCTCTCCGTTTCTCTGCCCCGGCCTAGAGGACTCTCTTTAAACTTTTTTTCTCGGATTTGAAGTCATCTATCCCAGGCTTGCAGTCGTGTAGTTACACCAGCTATCAGTGTGCTATCAAGTTCCTCCACTGACAGATGATTGAATTCCTACGCACAATGTTTGTGGTGCCATCTCATTAGGCATTCATTAACTTGTGCTAATCGTGTAAGCACGTTCCACTAGGGATTTTTGAACTCAACCAACCTCACTAAGCTTGGTAGATCTGTGCTGCTGAGGAAATTAACAAGATTATGACCAGCAGCTATCTGGGTCAGGGTCGTGCAGTAGATCTGCACCCAGTGAAAATCATACATGCTCATTTGAAATGCTAGTTGAAAGACCTTCTTGTCTGCACACCTCAAGAATTTTGTTGAATCTGCCAAAACCTTTATGGTGTTATTAGTAAAAAAAAAGACTTAACTGTGTTTTATTGGAAACAAAGAAACCCAACATCTTTTTTCTTTTAAATACATTTAACGCCATCACCAAAAGATCCTGCACTGAAATTATATTTCCTGAAGACTCATTAATGGTCCAGTGGTTTCTTATCAGATCAATTCTGACTTTTGACCTTTGACACGTCACAGGCGAGCACTGATTTGAGCCAAGATGGCTGCTCCCTGGAACAGTGAGCCTCATATTTCAATCCCTCCAGCTGTCTTCACCTCAGTAATGAAATCACTGACCTTAGTGTTGTGAATCAATGTCAAGCTGGTAGCATAGGCTGGTTGTACATCCAATATCATGAAGACATGCCTTGTTGAAGCGCTTCTGACGGGGGCGGAACAATGTTTTAATACCTTACTCAATTATTACAGACTATATTTTTGTACTGTACAAGTCATGTTTATATATCTTGAATTTCTGCATGTTTGTTCCTTTTTTACTAAAGCATTAAGACACATAAGACAAACACATTGAAAAATGTTTTCAACTGTACATATTTAAATAGACGTTCCCTGTTTGACTTGAAGTGTTTCTGTCTGTGTCAAGGTGGACGACAGTATGAGGATGCTTGTGCGGCTCGTTTGGGGACTCTTCGTCCTCAAAGCGGTGGTGGCCAGCCCCAGAATTTCCCGACAAGCGGACTTGGACACATACGATAGTGCCAACTACGATGTGGATCTAGACAATTCAAATTTGGAGAACCAAGATAACTATGACTATGAAGAAGAGCTGACAATTGATGATCCTCAGGTAAGAAACTGTATCGATCGAAAGAAAATGTATAGGCAAAATATTCAAATACCATGGCCCTCCATTGTACAAAGGCAACCATTGTGCTTTCAACGTTCACATTATCTAATATTCATATTCCTCCACTGATTTAGAAATCGGCCTACACATTAGTCTACGGTTTGTTTTTGGTCACCCGGCAGTTCAAGTAATGAGATGCGTTTTGGCTTTAACAATGCTAATTGGGATTGACAACAGATGTATGCAAAACAATTTATTCATTGTAAAGTTACTGGTGAGTCTGTTTTATGCTGTTCAATCCATGATGCATAGCTGAAGGACACTAGTTAACCCTAACCCTCTAACCATAACCCTAACCCTAGTTGTTCTTGTCACCAATGCAAAGTTGAATAATCACTGGAAAACTTGTGAAGACAGACTAAAAATATAATTGTTTCACAACAACATGATATGTTGCAGGCTCCTCTAACTCCCTTCCTTTAAGGATTCCATCTAATTACACAACTCTGTAATATTGGCAATAATCTGGTTGATTTTTAACTGAGTTCAGCCGGTTCATAAAGCAGAAAGGCATCCTGCTGTTGCCATTTGGAAAATGGACAAAATGCTGTCCAGCTTTGTGCACTATTGTGGCCAAAATATTTCACTTTTATACCTTGGCCAGCCACCATTTAAGTTATATGCAACAGAGTATCTACAGGCTGAATTATTTTGCATCTGGAGTAGTTTTCATACCTGGAAGGAAACCGTATTTATGCCCCAATGATGGATATCTTTGGCTGCAAAATGTAAGAAATATTTTGATTTGTTTTTATGTTTGTTCTTTGTTGTTGGTCTGTATTTACAAGAAACACAGGAAACACAGATGGATTATTTTGCATGTGCTTGAACTCAAGGACTCCTGTGCTCTCTGGGACTTACTTTTCTCATTTTGGTTCAAGCTCCGTAAAGCATAACAGCTTTTTAAAAGATGAGTGCAGAAGAGAGGCAGAAGGTTTGATGGATTCCACAAGTGCCCTTTAAATCAGTTCAAGTTGAGTTTGATGTGGCAATGCTGCAGGGCATGCTGGGAATGCAAGCTTTAGCCAAATGTCATGTTGCCATTTATACCTCTTTGTAACACGGAAATTAGTCCAAGGCAATGTCAAGATGTTGGATTTTCAACAGGCTTTCTCTTAGCCAGGGATTTAACTTGATGTGGATAGCACTCACACCAGTGCTGTTATCTCAGACCAATCCTACAATCCAATGCATTTTTAGCAAATATGACAAGATCTTGAAAAGCAAACAACATAAAGCAGTGAATTATTTCAATCCACTGTTGCAAAATATAAAAACGTTTGCCTTATTTTCAAAATGATAAAAATATGTTGTGCAGAGTTTTACAGCTGCGTGCCACACATGGGAGTGTTCAGTGTGGAAAAGTTATAATGTGCTGGGAAATGGTTCTGATAATGTCCCTTTGTTTAACAAGCCTGCAGTGACACAGCACATTGCCACAATAATTCAGGGTCTTTGGGAGCAGGAAAGGGGAAAACAATACCATTAGAGTTATAGCAATCTTCCCATGTTGTTTATCCCATTGAAATAACAAAGTTTGGACTCATAATTGCAGCCTTGCGTGTTGAGAAAAAGCGTGTTCCAAGGACATTTTGTTTTGTTTCGCATAGATAAAGTGATAGGGCAGCTTCAGATATACTGGTTGCTTAAAAAGAGCGAGGATTAACCGGATTTTATTCACACACACACATGAGATGTCAGGGGAGTGATGAGCTCCATGCCTCTGGAATGCTGACTCTTTACTTTCCACATCCAGTCCTCTGGTGGTATTTCTCGTCTTTCTCCTCAGAGCTTGTCTCTTTTCAGAAAGGTTAAGGCTCATCTACAATGTTAGCCAAGCAAATCGTCTTCAGTCTGCTGCATACAATGGTCTCTGCAAATGCTTTCATCACCAGTTTTATAATAATTTAGATGTCTTATATAGTTTCACACATATTTAGTCATTTTGAACTAGACTTTAACACCTCATGTATTAAACTCTACATTAATGTCTGAAGCTGAGGTTTGTGCTGCTGTTGTTTTGGATTGCTAAGTACTGTATAGTAAGAAGCCGCCTAAAGTTCTTCATTTGCTCCACTTGGAAAATAACTACATAAATACAATGTTACAACATTATCCATAATTAACAGTGCTTTAATGAAGTGTTCTTTTTAGATTTTGTTTATTTATATTGAGAAATCATTCTTAATTGTTTCCAGGATTTGTCTCCTCGAGAGTTATATGAGAGGATTGATACCCCTCTCACATCTGTGGGTTAAATATGAAGCTACATTCCGTTAGCTTAGCCTAGCATAATGACTGGAAAGAGGAGGTAAATAGCAAGCTGTTCTATGGTAAAAAAGGTATCAAAACCTGACTCATTATCACAATATTAAGTATTTGTTTAATCCGTACGAAAGTGTAAAAACAACTTTACATTTTTAACAGCCTGGATTTTGTCTGTCATCAATCTTCTACTCGCCAATAAAGAGAGTAAGCATATTTCCTGTGCAGATATTACGTTGGCATTGGCCTTGGGCTGGAGAAGTTAATAAATATGGATGAAAAGGTGCCTTTCATTTTCTCAAGACTTCATATGCATAATTAGATTTTGTACATGCTGTGCAATATCAGGGTGAAGAACCATGAGATGGTTGATGTTTATACGCTCATTTCAAATCACATTTTTCTGTGATGATCCATACTGAAGCAATCCGTTCTGTCATTTTTTTTGTTGATAAGGAAACAGCTGGTGTAGTGTGAGGATTTTATGGAAACTTCACTTTTTGTGCTGAATGCACCTACTGATTGGTACACTATATAGTACAGCAGTGACATTTGGCGTCAGTTTGATGCTCACATTCAACGTCTTTCCCTGTGCATTCTGTATTCCCATGCTGTTTCCAGAGGGTTTTTTCAATATTTTTGGTTGCCAGCGTCTTCTTTCCCCTCGGGTGTAGATGTTTGCTTTGGGGAAAGGGGGAAATGAAGGGGAGAGCTGCAGCGAGCAAACTGTGTGCAAGACTTTTCAAAGGCCTACCTTGTTGTATCCCAAACTGTGTCTCTGCCAAGCTTTAAAATATGACTGGACATCTTTTCATTGCTGCATTTAAAGTCTTTGCATGCATTTACCAAGTTATATTTGTTACAACCAAGCACTTGAAGGTTGTACTTTGTAACGGATTATTTACTGTATGTCTTGATATACATTTATTTTTGATACCTCTTACCTACATCTGATTACCGCGGTTGAAAGCAGCTGAAAGAACTAAAATATGGATTTGTGCAGCTACCATGTGTGTCTTGGTTCCACAAGGACCATTCCGTTTTTGGAGGGTTGAGTCAGCCTTGTTGGGCTGAGAGTGTCAGGTATTACCTGTGGCGGTGTGTGGGGGTTCAGCGCCCTCGCCTGGAGAGGGATAGAACTGCAGGTTTTATCTGAATGACTGTGAATGCGATTATAATACCAGATGGATAAACCTGAAGCTTTTAATGAAGAAACCACAAAGCACGGTGATTCATCAAGCTTGGTTGGTTAGGCAGAGCTGTCTTTTCATGTATTGCCCAATATAAAACATAAATGCTGCAAAGCCTTTGTTTATAAAGTAATATTTTGAGGGACAAAACATTAACATGACGGCAGGTTGTATAGTCCTTAAGTTTATCTAAAAGCACCTTAAACTAAATATAACCAGTTACTGTAAAATTAAGCATTTTGGTTCACATAATATGCTGATAAAAACCTTTCTGAAAAGATTAAAAAAATATATTTTGTTGGTTGAATTTTTTGTTTATGTCCTCATTGACAAAGTGATTCCTATGCATTCCTCCATTTACAGTTCTTAACCATGTGAGAATTAACAAGAGCTCCAAACTCAATACAAAGAAAGTTTCTTTGTTGTGGCATTCATGGCAAGAAGATAACATATCTTTCAATGATTTGTATACCTGTTGTTATGGAAAATACTATTAATGTACAATAATATATTAAGTATGTGTGTGCTATGAGTGCTAATGGTCAATGGCAAGTAAAAAGGTCCTTCACTTTTATCACGTTGGTACCCAGCAGGTGTTTTTTTACTACACAAATGTTTTTTCATGGAGGTTGTATCTGAGTGGTTATTACTTTCTAGACTCTGGATAAATCTGCGCACTTGCCTGCCATCTTGAGGTAAAGATGCTAATGGTCTCATGGTTCTTTTTGTTGGTCCTTGATAACATTGATGTGGCAAGTTGGACTGTGTCACACAAGATCCTAGATTCTTATTTCTGAAGGCTTCTTATGTTGTTTGATTTCCTTTTTTCCTTCTGAGTGTTATGAATCAATTGTCTGCCTGCTATGATTCAGTTTCCCAATACTAAGTAATAGTAAACAGTTAGTAACACTATGCAGTGCATAACGTCTATTTAATAAGGGGGAGACTGTCTTCATCTCTTGAAATCACTTTTAATGGATTACATTTATAATTGATCATACAGCAGAGCTATCACCATTATGTCATTGGCTACCAATGTTCAGTGTATTTCCAGTGTATTTCATTTCTTAATTAAGATAGCATTTTATACTTGACCAAACATTGAAATGTCTAGGTTAGATCTGTTCTGTAGGCACAACATACAACATGCAACATACTGAAAAGAGGATAATATTTGCTTCTTTAAAGAATATTTACCAGAATCAGCTAACATGGAACAAGCACACAGCCATGTGCTTCCTTGACTAGTTTTGGGGTTATTATTTGATGTACAGAAAAATAAAAACAGTTAATATCACTCATACATTTTTGACTCAAAGCTGCTATCTTTCCCTCAGATAGAGATTGGAACACTCGCACCTGACTACAACTACCCTGTAACCGAGGCCTCAGAAGAACAAGTCGAAGAAGAGGAAGAGGAGGAGGAGGAAGAGTTGCCCCTGACACCCCAGCTCGTTCCTCAGGGTTCAGGGGGCTCTGGGGTTCTCATGGGCCCAAACACACAGAAAGGTCTGAAAAAGCACACACTCGTAAACATAGAGTTCAGTGGGTGACAGAGAGGGCCTTGCTCTGGTCTATATGGAGTTGTAAAAGGACAGCAGCCAACGCTCCTAACAACGATACTCTAATCTATTCTCTAAACTCTTCTTCAACAATCATCTTGTCCATGTGCATGTCTTCCATTTAACTAGCTGTTATGGTTAAATGTGTCCTTTTCAATGACTTTGTCCATTTGTCACCAACCACTTAACCTAATCATCACTGTTAGCTCCATGCCTGATTAATGTTCTGTTTCACCTGTCTGTTTATTAATACCTAATCTTGTCTCTAACAAGAGGTGGAGCTGCGTCTGACGCCCATTGACATCCTTCATGTGTCCGGGGATTTTGGAGGCTCGGTAGGGTCCGGGGCCTCGGGAGCTTCTGGGGCTTCTGGGTCTGGAGGCTCAGGAGACCTTCTGGTCTCTGGTGGCTCAGGGGGTTCCGGTGATATTGTCTTTATCTCCGGAGCCTCTGAGGAGCTCCACAGCTCTGGGGGGTCAGGGGAATTCTTGGCATCAGGGGATATCTTGATATCTGGGGATCTCTCGGGCTCCGGGGATCTCTCAGGCTCTGGAGATATTTCTGGAGCCTCTGGAGATCTTGGCTCTGGGATTTCTATTGAATTCCCCCTGGGCTCTGGGGCCTCTGGAGACCAGTCTGGTTCTGGGTTCTCCGGAGATCTCCTGATTTCAGGGGCCTCAGGAGGCTCTGGGGTTTCTGGGGACGGTGAGTCCGGTTCCTCAGGGATAACATTGATATCTGGAGGTTAGTATGCCTGCCAGAAAGGCTTTTGGCAACTCTATTTCTTGATGTGTCTAAAATCACCTGTCATACTGATTGTCTTGAATTCCATTTAACTTCCTTTTTAAATGTAGTTAAATGTTGATTTGTTTGCCTGAAATCATACTTTATTGTTTCTCTTTGTACGTTTTCATAATCACGGTGCTCCTAACCTCATGTGTAATCAAAAATCTGGGTGTGATTGATTAATGGGTTGATTGATTGTCATCTGATCCCTCCACCTTCCTAATCTCATGTCTCCTAACCCCAACCCTTACTCTAACAAGAGGAGGAGCTGCCTCTCATTCCCGAGACTATCCCTAGCGAGGCATCAGGTGCTTCAGGGGAGTTCTCGGGAGCTTCAGGAACCTCAGGGGCCTCTGGAGATCTGGGGATCTCTGGATCCTCTGGGGCTTCTGGTGCTTCTGGCTCTGGAGACACAGAGGTCCCTGAGGTAACTCTGGTACCTGATATTGATAAAGGTCAGTATCTAATCTAGACATATGTTTAAGGCAAGGTTAAAACAAAGGCCATACCTGACACTCAAATCGGTATTTCAAAAAGTCAGTACTTACCATGAACAAGGTGCCAATGCCATGGCTGAGGCAATGAATCTTCTTATGAACTGGCTTTGCTTTTTGAGACCAGCAGCTACAAAGGTACCCTGTGGAGTTTCTGACCAACAGTAGTGCTATAGAGAATGTGTTTTACGAGTAGGTTTCTGAAGCTTGTTTCACACTATTGTTCTAAAGAGGAAGCATTATGTTGCTTCAGGAAATTCAGTGAGGAAGAAGACTGCTAGCCATCTAACATGTATGTAAACCTTCAGTCCGCCTTGGTGGCAATGGGAGAAAAAAAATCCCCTTAGACCGCTTTTTGCAAATGTTTTATGAGAACGGTCACTAACATATCATTTATTTGTCAAACCTGAAGAATACACTACATGCGTTTTGTATGATTACCAGAAACTCCACAAGGCACCTTTCAAACGAGTTTTTTAGAAATATAAATGCTTAGAACGGTACATTCAAACTTAAGCAATGATTTTATTTATGTACTTTTTTTAACATAATTGTTTATACCAAGTCCAATGTTGTTATCTAGCCTTGTAGACATTGGGGCAACTTACACCCTAGAGATGAAACCGCATTTGGACTCGCTTTCTCGAGCATTTTGTGCCCATCACCTCTCATATCATTAACTCTGACAAAACGTTTTCATTTAACTTCCATTCGTCAGTTAAATGCCATAACCGCTTGGTTCACACTGCAAATAAACTGTGTGTAACTTACCACCGTGGCAACCAGTGGGCTACTGATTGCCAGTCATGTCCATGCTGATCTAACCTGTTTCTTTAACACCTAATCTTGTCTCTAACAAGAGGAGGGGCTGCTTCCGACCACACCAGAAACCCCTCAGGAGGGTACTGGTGGTGTAGAAGGGTCAGTGAGCTCGGGTGAACCTGACGAGCCTGATGAGCCTGAGATTGACAGGAAAGGTCAGTATTTAGATACACAGAGAAGAATGATTAAAAAAATGTCCGTTCACTTTGGAACTTGTCAACACCATGATATCCTGAATCCTCATTTGATTGACTTGCCCTTTGGATAACTGTCCTCTGATTATACCTCTTACTTTTTCTTATTGTATTACCTCCCTCTTCTTTGATCCTTCACATGAATGTGCTCCAGGTATGCCCACTTGCCTGCTGTGCACGTGCCTCGGTGGTTCGGTCTACTGCGATGACTTGAAGCTGGATAGTGTTCCACCTCTTCCTAAAGACACCACTCACTTCTACGCCCGCTACAACAGAATCACCAAGATCAACAAGTCTGACTTCGCCTTCATGAGTACGTTTGAAAGAAAATGTAGAAATGTAAGACAAGAGATTTTCCGAGCCAAGTATTAAGATGATGTTTTTTCACATCCTTTCAGACAAGCTGAAGAAAATCGACCTAACCGCCAACGAGATAACGTCCATCGATGAGAGAGCATTTTTGGGTCTTCCCGAGCTGGAGGAGGTGTTGATTCGAGAAAATCATATCTCTCAGCTGCCTGCTCTCCCAGAGACCATGAGCTTGATCGATGCCAGCCAAAATAACATTGGCACCAAGGGTATTCACAAAGAGGCGTTCAAAGTACGTACAACTCCAGCCCCAGTCAATGAAGGCCAATGTGTCAGTAGTTATAAGGTTGTTTATATGTTAACGCTTGTATATTTGCACTTCCAAGTTTATTATTATGTCTTGAGGTGCTAGTCTTGGTTTAAAAAAAACAAATGTAATTACAAACATATTCATATAAATATGTTTGTCGTATCTAGGTTTAATAATAACATTAGCTTATATAACATCATTTGATTTGATTGATTCTCCAACATCTTTATACGTTATATCATTTGAGAGTATTTGATATTTTGGTGTTCTTTACAAGACATAATTGTTATCAGAGGTGGGAGAAGTACCCAGATCATGTACTTACGTCAAAGTAGAGTAGAGTGTAGGAATACTCTGTTACACGTCAAATCCTTGCATTGAAAATGTTACTCAGTAAAAGTACTCATTCTGCAGATTGCCCCATTTTAGAATAATATATGATATGATTTTATTATAATTATTGATGCATTAAAGTGTTGGTAAAGGTGAAGCTAGTTTTAACCTCTGAATTGAAGTGGAGTGGAAGTACAAAGTAGCAGAACATATAAATACTCAAGTAAAGTGCTAGTATCTCAAAATTGTACAGTGCTTGAGTAAATGGTTGTTTATTTTTGCACCACTGATTTTTGTATAATTGATCTTTCTATCCAGGATATGACCGGCCTGTTGTACCTGTACCTCACAGACAACACCATTGATTACATCCCTGTGCCTCTACCAGACAGCCTGCGATCTCTACACTTACAGGTACATCTGCTTTGGCCCCATGGATCATCAATTCCCATCAATGGCCAACACTAAAATACTTCGTTTTATTTACATGTTTGAATTTGATATGAAAATAAGGGAAATGAGAAAGCAATCTGGAATAATAAATCACAGGTTATCTTCACCCACACAGGTGTTTTCACTTTGGTCTGATTACACCTCTTCTCTTGTCGAAGTGGGTGGAGCTATAATGAAATGACATGATGTCACTAAACTTCACAAACCAATAAGAATGGGTTTTGCCCTAACAGGTGCAACACAATCAAGCTGGTCAGAGGGATGTCAAGCACTCACACACAAGTGGTCTCATTCGGCAGATTGAAAACACCTGTGTGTGGGGGGGGGGTCATGGGATAGCCTTTAAGAAGCTAACTCAAATGAAAGAAATCCTTCCATGCAGTTTCTCTGCACTGAAGCTGCAAGCACTTCCTGAACAGCCCGAGAAACCAGACGTATTAATGCCCCCCTAAAAAGAAAACACTGAACGTTTTTGACACTGGTATCCTACTGAATCCTTTCCAAAAAGCTTGTTTAATCTGTTCAGGTTCTGCTTTCAACAAACAAAACAAATTGACCTCGATAGAGGCCACAGGCCAATGTAGTCATTAACCATTCAAATAGATTTGTATATTAAAGTGTTGGTGGAGTTTCACCTCCTTATACTTTTTACCTCAATCTTTTACAGAGTATGTAAAGTTGTGTTGGAAAAAACTTCTCTGATTTAAAAGGAATAAATATGAAAATATAAATATATATTACACATGACTTTCCTGAATTTACAAAGCTGTGAAGGTTGATGATCAAAGAACTTAACCTTTTACCACACACATTTGATATCTAGCTGAATGACTGTATGATATACCAGAGGAAATAAGCAGAAATGATCCACATTAGAGGGAATGAAACTGCCTTTTTTGCATAATAACTATTGGAATCTATTATAATAATTGGGTCATTTGACAATTTTTCCTATTCTTCTAGAGTAACAAACTACTTTGACTTGGGGAGAAAATAAAAGTATTGCCTATATAAGGGGCTAAAAGTCATGGACTTATGTCAAACGGCAATATAAGGCGATAAACCCTGCTTTATTCTAATCTATAATTATTACATTTCTCCATGATAATATGATTTATCAAGAGTTACATACGCATTGAGATGTATCTCACTATGTATCTTCCTATCTTCTACACAGCGTAACAATATTCAGACGATGCACGAGGACACGTTCTGCAACCTGAAAGACTTCAACTACATCAGAAACGCACTGGAGGACATCCGTCTGGACGGCAACCCCATCAACCTCAGCAGGACCCCGCAGGCCTACGTCTGCCTGCCCCGCATCCCCATCGGGGATCTCATCTAACCACAGACACAAACCTACTGTTGCACACGGACTCACACAAATACAACCACATGCACACATCTTTGTACATATTGACACACCAAAGCCACACATGCAGACATGCTAACTATTTATCAATACTCAAAATTAAATTAATTGCAATTACAAACTCATACATGCTGCTGACCTATGGATTGGTAAACATTTGTGTGGAAATGTATGTTCCATAAACAACGAACAGATTCTGGTGATCAAGCACATACATACTGCTCTATCTTTCTGTTGTTTTAGATTTTTATAACGCAACGTAATGAATTTGTCACTCTCATATTCCCTCATCTATCAAAATGCATGTTCACACACATAAGAACTTTTTCATAAGCCAAACTGTTTCGCAATTTGATTTATAGAAAACAATAGGCAACATTTGGAGAAATCAGTTTATTAAAAACCCTCAAATGTCATGTATGTGTCTGTTTTAGTGTTTGTTCATGACTGGCAAAAACAATACAACCAGTAATATTTTTTAATGTTTTGTAAAAAAATAATATTAATATTAATGACAAATCTAACACTTTTGGAAATGTATACTAGCATAAACTTATTGAAGCTGGAGCTTAATGGAAGGTACATTGAGTATCTAATGCAATAAAAGACGCATTTAAACACAATCATTTGTTGTAAAGTCTGTACTGTAATATAAAAATATATATTCTGAAAAAAAGATTTTTTACATGAACTGCAATATTTGGTATAATTCATTTCAGAGTGATGTTTAAACCGTGCACAATAGCCAATACCAAAGACTCTAATGTCTAGAGTGGATCAAATAAAGAATATTGTTTGATTTGGGAGGGGGGGTTGTTGATTTTTATTGTGGATGGGGTTAAGAATAATGCTAATAGCTTGCTATTGTGTGCTCTGTATGGAATAACCACAAGTGAATAAAGTTGTTTTGAAGACCTCTCCAAACTAGGAGTGGCTCAACGTTTTCATTAACGGTGAATGTACATTTTGATTTGTATGGACTTAACTAATTTACTACTGCTCAAAAATACCTTTCTCCATGGATGTGTTGTGCAGAGAAGCCTCATGAATCAAAAGTTTTCAATAAGTTTTTCAAACAAGTTGAGGAACTGCTCCTTCCTGTCTGTGACATCTGAGTCTTTCCGCTGGCTGCTGTCTTCTGTACCGTCCTCAGTCCTTTCTCTGGGTGCAGAACGTCTCTCCAGCCTGGCTTTCTCTCTCTCCAGAGCCAGCCGGTCCTGTCTCACAGCCTCCTTGTCCTTGTCCAACATCACCTTCTCCCTCTCCAAAAGGGCCTTTTCTCTCTCTATGATCGCCCTCTCTCTTTCCAAAGACGCTCGCTCTCGGTCCAGAGCGGCGATCTCCCTGTCCAGCACCGCCCTCTCCCTCTGTAGCACCTGCTGCTCCCTCTCCATCACCCGTTTCTCGCTTTTCATCAAGTCTCTCTCATGCTCCATCTCTTGCATGATGCTTCCGTCCTCCGTGGCATCCTCATCCTCGTCTCCGTTCAGGGTGACCTCAATCTCAGGCCCTCCTGCGATGGAGGCCATAGAGGAGCTAGGTACCATGGGTATCTTCCTCCTCTTGCGTTTGGAGATTGAGGGGAAATTAGCACTGCGGGCTAAGGCCTCGAGGAGGGGGGTGTCGCCATCCAGCCGACCCTCCATAGCGTCGTCCATCACGTTGAAGAAAGGCCAGCCTTCAGGGTACACTTTCACTCCAGCTGGAGGGTTCTTTAGCCCCTGAAGAAGAAAAGTTAAAAATCAAAAACGACATTTGTAAAAGTGCTTGATAAATCTATGGGGTTCTTTGTTCCTGTACCTTGTATCTCTTCTTCAGGTTTTCCCATTTTTTGGATGCTTGAATATGGGTCATCTGGTAATGCAAGCGCATATGTTGTAGGATTGCCCTGAAAAAACAACACACAAAAGCATTAGAGCTAACACAATGAGTTGATTTATTCAATATATATCGAATATTTATTGAGTCGATAAATCAATAAGTTGTACTATTATTGTTTTTAATATATAAATGCCCAAATGTCACTGGTTTTAGCTTTTTTAAATATGAATATCAACAAAAACGTTTAAACTTGATGTCCTACCTCCATGCCCACATGGACGTATTTCTCTTTCCAGAGAAGAGGTTATTATTCTTGACCCTCAGCTTCACAAAGTCTTCAATTTCCTTGACACTCACTGAGGGAGAGAGAGAGAGAAGAACATTGTTAGAAATTACTTCATGAGGGCTTTTGTAAAATATAGAGATAAAAACTGAAACCCTCAACTCAAATCAAGCATAAAAACGTATTAAAAATCAGTTTTTTTTAATGCAGTGTGCAGACTGCATTACAACTGATTATGAGCAGTGTCACCCTTAATTACACAACGTGTACAGAATACTGGAGTCCATTCCCTTTTTAATTCAATTAAAACATAACACCATCTCAAACTGTAAAAAAAAAACTCATTTAAAATGAAGTTAGCAGACCATACCTCAATCTACTGTGTATTCATTGGTGGCCCTCATGGTAGGTCTACTATGCTCACTTACACAAATATTACATAACAAACACAACCTACATACCAGTGTGTAGGCCAGTTTAAATAGCCTGCGTGTATTAACCATATTCACTTGTTATTGTTGAATTCATTCTTACTTCTCGGGCACTTCAGCGTGGAGCCCACTTGCTAGGATGCTAGGTGCCCAAGCTAACTCTCATTATCTGTGAGTTAGTTTGAATAAAACATGACTTTTTCTGCTGCCTATACTTACTTTTATATGTGTACTCCACGGGGCACACTTTATTATAAGTGGTGCTCGTGTAATCGTGATCTTCGTTTTCCATGTTTCCCTCGTTTACGTTCTTCGTTTAGTGCCCTTCGTAGGAAAAGACGGGAAGCTACTTCCGCCTTTAGAGGGACCTTATCTTCTTCTAATAAAGCGCGTATAGGGCCGTATCAGCGCAACATTGCCATCTAGCGGTGTGGAGGTTTAGCATACTGTAAAATATAATAGTAATATTACATACAGTCCAGCTGTTTTTGCTCTCCCACGCAATATTTGTGAACCTATACAGTTTACAATAACACTTTGAACGTTACATTGACATTGCATATTGTTTAACTGTTTTAATGTGTATTCCTTTAAGTTATCACCCACTTTATTATCATGCATTTGTAGTTCAAATCAGCAGTCGATCTTGCTATGATTTCACATCTGCATTACCAGCCTCTCGTCAAACAGCGTGTGGGAGTGGCTGTAGGCTATATATAAGTTAGGGAAACGAAAGTGTTAGATAGAGAATGGCGTCTGCCTATCGTGAGTACTTTTTTAACATCATTATAATAATATTCATACTATAATAATATAATATAATGAGTTAATTATGTGTTTTTGTTTTATCGACATGCTTAGGCACCCTTTTGCCCTCTTAAAAAGAGTGGCCACTGGCCACTGTATGTTATTATATGCAAAATGAGACATTTTGAGTTGAAATCAAAAAAGATTAATAGAAGGCTATATGCCACGTTATATGTGAAACACGATGAAAGTATTACCTCGCAATCGGACAGTCAGACACAGATTTATAAGAAGTGGCGATGATTGTTTGAAAACTTGACATATCAAGTTTCAGTTTCGTTTCTTGATGACCTCTCTGTTCTACTGAAGCCCAAACATGTATAGTAATAATCATGGTTTACTTTCATTTCTAATTTACTAGTTAAATTAAATTCAGGGTTATTATCTTTCCTTCATTAATCTATACATTATTTTTGCAACGTGTAGAATAGATCATGGCCATACAGCATAGGCCTACTGGATGTGATCTAATGATCCAGCAGGGGGCAGCAAATAAAGATAATAAGTCATTTTTTTCAATATTAACTTGCACTTTCTTTTAAACTGTGTTTTAAAATGTACTTGAAAGAATATCTTATGGCCCTTTATTTAAAAAAACGAATAATTAAAAATCAAACTTTGATTAATTGTTTACCATTTCTCATTGAACAAATATCAGTACAGAAAACAATTGCAACATAACAACTAAAAGTGTCCCCACTTTTCACCCTTAAAGGATAATGATCATGTTCAGTCATTATCAATGGGAATTTTGTTCAAGTGTTCACCAAATATGTAAACAAAGTTTGATGTGTGTTTTTCATTCTCAATTATTGTTTTGTGCCATTGTTCCCAGTTGCTGACGAGGAAAAGCCCTCTAGTGACCCTGAACGTTATGACTCCTCTGAGGCGGAATCTGACGCCAGTGAAGAGTCTGGCAGTGTCAGTGATTCAGATGAAGGAGATGGTTTTCAGGTTGGAGAAGATAATTGAGTCAGCATCTATTTATTGCACATAAAGCCACAAGAGGTGGATCCATTTAAGGCCTTACATATCTTTTAAGGCAGATGTTATTTGCACCCAGGTGACTTTAGTGGAACATGCTAGTTGTATATAGCTACATTGGCTATTTACACCCTGGGTGCACTGTTAAAATGTAATAAATACATTATTGGCATATCATGGATTTTATGCTAAAGAGAGTTTACTGCCATGTTTGACACCCTCTATTTTTCACACTGATGTAGAACTTTACTTTATTTACCAATTGAGTGATTAAAAATCTTTCCATTTTCAGTTGACTGGGAACGGGCCCTGCAAGTATTACAACAAAGGCCGGTGTCGGGATGGTGAGAGGTGCTCTTTCCAGCACGTCTGCCAGTTTGCCCTGACAGGAAGCTGTCGCTACAGGTCCAAGTGTAAGCTGAACCACCCCACAGGCGGGGGGGAGCCCTCGGGGGCCAGCAACCGGGATTCAGGCCGATCTACGTCTAGTGGTGAGGAAGGTTAGTCCCGATTTTGTTCACTGGAATTATCTTATCGACTCATCAATTAGTGGTTTTGAGTCACTACAAACGTCACTTTTTACTCTGCACACTGTCATTTTTCAAACATTTTAATTCTACATTTTGTCTTTTTAACCAGACTCAAAGCTCACTGATGGTAGATGCTACCAGTGGCAGCTGAATGATGGAAATGGTTGGATGGATGTTGCTAATGATCACATCCTCGAGGCCCAGTATTCGCTGCCTCACTGCAAAGGCATTAAAATCTACAACACACCATACGGGTAAGAGATAACAATGCAGTGCCGAAACATTTTCTACATCAAAAACGGTTTAATGATTGATCTCTCTGTCTCTGTCTGTAGGGCAGTGAGTATAGATTTTAACCGGATGAGACTGGATGGAAAGAGTCTGAGAGTGAGACGTTTGGATGATGGAAACACAGTGTGGATCTGGTACTGCACACTGGGTCGAAAGTGGATCAAGTATGGAGACAAGGTAGATAGAATTAAACGATTGGACCTTACTTTTGTGTGCAAAAATACAACAAGTCCCAAGTTTAACATTTTATCTTCTTGGTCAATTTGACAATGAATACTTTTTTTTCTGGACAGGACTCAAAGGGCCAGCCCAGTCCTGTGAAGAGCTCTGACATAGAGAACAAGTTCCAGAGTAACCCAACAAGCTCTGTCACGTTCAACGTCGGTGCTAAAACCTTTGAGATTAAATTCAGAGGTGAAGTATACTCCAAAAACCTTCACCAAATACACATGTTTACTAAATCCATATGTAGAACATTGTGCCATTGGGAAGTACACACCCCATGAGAAATCAGGGTCGTGTGCACACATTAAAAGCAAAAGTTGTGATAATGAAGTCAGGAATATCCCAACAAGAATCTAAAGATATAGTGGAGGACCGGACTGCAAACCTAAATAGAAAACTATTTCTGAAGTGAAATACTTCCCCGGGAGTAAAAACCAAACAGCAGTCATTGAAATGTAAATACAACTGTAGAATTGAATAATGTCATTAAAACATATCAGCATTCAAATGTGCAGAAGTGTGCTCTTGAATGTGCGTAGATTACCTACAATCAAATCTATGTGTGAACTGGATTGTACATTGGCCCAATGTTAGTTTCTTCTCAGAAAGCAGTTTTATTTTATTCTTTTTTTTGGCAGAAATGCGACAGGTGTCCAAAAAGAAAAAGAGAAAAGTAACTCGTCGACCACTGTTCCGACAACAGCCCGCAGGAGCACAGTGAGTCTGGATTGTGTGAATAAACCATTTCCCAAAGTCAAACCATTTCTTCAAATTAATCCAGAATTTTATATTTACAGAGCTTCTCAAGCACCATTAGCTTTCCAGAATCTTTCTGTGGGATCCAAACCAGAGTGGCAGTTTGAGGGGAACAGTGGAGCGTGGCATGTGTTCAAACACAGGGCAAGTTATCTAGTTACATTAAGCTAAGAAATGTTATCTGTCTTTGTTACGAAGTGCAAAAAACATGATGTTTCAAATGGTTTCATCAGAGAGGAACGTCGACTGAATGCTCAGTAATCAGTGATGAGATCGAGAGGAAGTACCAGCAAAACACCCAGAGCAGCATGACCTTCGACGTGAAGGGACAGACCTACAAACTGGATTTTGCAGGTAGTTCTTTTTCAAAAACTGTAAGAGGACACATTTTTTTTACTGGTTAACTATTTACTAATAAGTTCTTGAGTTTATAAATCGTGGTTTGTTACTAGGAAATCCTATAAAATACATGTTCCTGCTAAATAAAGCGTGAAAAAACAACTCTCCCTGCTATAATGAACTGTAAATTGCTTGAATAGTAATCCTGAAACACAACATACAGTAGAGCATTTATTTGTTTTATTTTCCCTCTGCAGCGATGATCCAAACCAACCTGAACACCAAGCGTTCACGCAGGATCCAACGTGTGCTGGTGTGAGAATTAAAGGAGATTTGGAAGAGCTCAAGAAGAAAATCTATAAAACAATTGTGCAATACCATATTTATACAATCAATTCAATCTGAGATGTGTTTATTTGGGCTATTTGAAGCAAACTTAATCATTGTTATTAATTGACGTGGCAGTACATTGGCGTCTTTATGAGAAATTGTGTTTATAGAAGAAATAATTCAGGATAAGATGGAATGATGCCAAAGAATCTTCTTTTTTTATTTGGATTTTGTACAAAAAAAGCTTTGAAGTTTACCAGCTCACCTAAATGCTGCCTGACAAGTTTTACCTCAGATTATGGATACTTTACTCATTTGCCTTTTGCAGAATATTACACACACACTGTAGAAATACTTACTACCATACTATAAGATGACATTACAAATGTTAGCTTAATAAGGAAACACCCTCCTGGAATGATCAGACATATATTTCATGTTACATAAATATGTTATGTTACAATATAATTGATTGGTTTGGATATATGTCTAATGCAAATTCAAGGTAAATAATAATAACCTTTTTTAAGTGTTTTATAAAAGTCAGGGGGTTACATTATGCAATTTAAATATGTAATTATTTCTGCTCAAGATTCAAACTATTGGATCTTAAGGTTTACTCTACTTCATACATATGCATTTCCCTTCAATAAAAATGGATCCAATGTAATATTGTTTGTTGTTTTAATATTTTGAAAATGCACTATGGTATATCGACAGCTGTGTTATCCCAAATAAATCCCTGTTGACAAAGAACACAAGACATAAAAACTTCACTTTTAATAATATATGTATATATGTGTGCATACAAAATACAGATGCAGCTTCCTCAAGTGAGATTAAAGTGTAACCAGATGTGGGAAGTCACTAAATTCATTAATTCAAGTACTGTACTAAAGTACAATTTTGAGATACTTGTACTTTACTTGAGTATGTCCATGTTATGCTACTTTATACTTTTACTCCACTACAATTCAGAGTTAAATTGTGCACTTTTACTCCACTACATTTATTTAATATCCTTAGCTTCTTTGCACATTTGGATGAATGATGTGAAATATAATCAACTCTTAAATCAGACTTTAGTTACACCTGGAGTAAATTCACAAGCGAAGCTCCCTGCAGTATATTCAAACTAGCTACACCTTTACCAGCTTTGATAACACTTTAATGCATCAATCATTATAAAACATATCATATTATTCTAAAATGCACCAATCTGCAGAATGACTACTTTTACTTTTGGTACTTTAAGTTTAGTTTGATGCTAATACATTTATACTTTTACTTGAGTAACCTTTTTATTGCAGGACTTACTTGTTGTAACAGAGTATTCCTAAACTCTGGTACTCAAGTACAAGATATGAGTACTTCTCCACTTCTGAGTGTGACCTCACTGAAAAGATCATGTTGTTATTTTCATTCCTGGTTTTGTTGCGTGAACAATTCACGTGCAATCTGTGCGTGATAAACCTGCCCTGAAACGAAAGTGAAAGAAAAGCTTCTTTAAAAAGTAAACCTTCACATCGGTTTCTGAGAAAGAGATATTAAAGTGGATTTAATGGAACTATAACGTTTCAGTACCTTTTTTTTCTTTTTGTTTCCGTTTTTGAAACAGCCTTGTTGTTATTGGGACAATATTTCCTAACATCATGGTGAGTCTTCGTCACGGAATCACTTAGATTCTAAAAGTGTCTTTGTGATGTGAGATGAACATATTTGTTTGTTTCTCACAGGAAAATGCTGACGAGATGAACCATTGGCAGGAGACTGCAGGTTTGTATGATATTTAGAATTCCTGAACTACTTCTTAGTACCTGAAGTGTGAATGTTAGCCTTTCAGCTAACTGCTTCCTATCAGGACTGTCGACGTTTCCAAGAAACAAATACTTCAAAAATTGGACTATAACATGATTCAAAAGTATGAAAGAGTGATACCAGAGTAGATATGACACTGATAATAATGACATATTTCGATGAAGTCAGACATAACTTGGGTACTATTTTTAACCTTTCGACTAACTTTGTTAGCACACTAGTGTCAAACATTAACCTGAGTTGTCAAAGCTCTTTGTCATCAATAGAGCAGATAGATAATGAGATCCCATATGTTGTTGTTTTACAGTCAATGGGAAACATTATGAGTGGCAGCTGTCAAATGGACATCTATGGCTGCCAATCGACAATGACCATTTGATCGAGACCCACTACTGCCAACCTGGAGCTAAAGGAATCACCATCAACTTCAGCCATATGTTAGTGTTTTACTCATCTGAGATTTACAGTTTTCAGCATTTTTTAAGTCATAATTATTAAATATATTATACGTTTGAACAATTGTTGCAGCCTGTCATACAGTATTTAGATTATTATTATAATTTTTTTTGCATTTTAAGAAATTATTTGATTACAACTTGTACATAAAATAACTACATAACAATCCACAAATCAGGAAACATAAAAAAAAAATCATGAAGTGGTCATTGTATGTGTTTTGTGTTCTATAACTCACCCATTTTTGCCATCGGTCATCAAAGACATGATTCTCATTGCTATTTTTTCCATTCCTTAAATGTAATCTACTAGATTTTTCCATTGTGAGTTGATTAAGTTATTATCTTTTAACCAATTCCTTGTAATTTGTTCAATAACTGCTATTCTTATTACGAAAATAAGTAGGAATCTTTGTTTTTCCTCTGTCCTCTGGTAAGTTAGTAAATTCTTGTTTAGAGAAATGCCAAAAACATTTCTCTAATTGTATTTAGATTCTTAAGGGAATAAAACTACATTGGTCATGAGGATGGTGACAAATGATAGATTACTCAGAAGTATGTGGTGTTATAACATGCCGTATAACATCGTTTTACAATCCAATAAATATCTCAAACGTAATCCCATGTGTCTCCACAGGAAGGTGTTCATAGACTTTGATAAACTGCTGACTCAGAATGTAGATCTGAAGGTGCAGAGACTGAGTTTCCTCCCTCAGGGCCAGACGGAGGACGTAGGCTGGTACTTCAGAGATGACCAGCTGTGGCGTGAATTTGGATCCCAGGTGAGGGAAATCCCAGGCAACTACCATTACATTTATTCTAGCTGTGGAAGAAGTATTCAGATCCTTTAAAGTAACAATGCAGCAATGTAGAAATACTCTATTGCAAGCCTTAAGTAAAAGGACACAACAAAACAACGACATGTAGTCATACGCAAATCTGTTTTAAGGTTTTGGACTTTCTATCCTGTCCTTACATTTTGGTGAGATATAAAATTATTTGAACATGCATTGAAAAAGGAAAATAATCACATAAGTGGAACTAATTGAATCAAATGTGGCCCTGACTATGACGTAAATAAGGTAGCAACATAGTAAAGTCCAAGTACCTCAAAGGTTTACTTAAGAACAGTTTTTAGTAACACGCTTTTCCTCCCCAAGAGGTCCTTGACCATCAGCAGTGGAGATGTGGAGCGTCAGTTCACTCTTAACCCTCGAGGGTCTTTCAACTTCACAGTGGGCTCCTCAAGCTACTCACTCGACTTCTCAAGTATGGGATATTTTTTATCTTTTTACTCTTGAGAGCTCAAGAAATTCAATATATTTGTCTTTATTGATCTAACCGATTTTATTCGGCAGCCATGACACAAACAAACTGCGTCACAGGCCTGCGCAGAAATCTACGAAGGCGTCCAAAATTAACTTCCAATGCAGGGAGGTGAGACTTTATCTGTAGGAATCATAAACTTATATTTGACTTGTTTACATGTTTAAATATACACTAAATATGACTAGAGAGGGAATTTCAGTAGTTAAACCCTGAATAAAATATGTTTTTCTCTGCAGCCGTTCCTCCACTTCAGCTTCCTCCTCCCAGCTCACAGATGGAGGCTACAGGTGGGAGTTCATGGGAGACGAGGGTATATGGACTGAGTACAATGCACATGTAAGTAAGATTTCTAACCATTTTTTACTTTCAGCCCGAAACACTAACTTTATTAGTTAGGATTAGTTGAATATATTTAAAGGTCCCATGTCATGCTTTTCCGGTTATTACCCGTCCCCTTGTGTGTTATGTAGCTTTTTCTGCATGTAAACGGTCTGCAGAGTCACAAACCCTCAAAGTAAACCCTGTAGCGAGTAAAACTCTAACACAGAAAAGACCTGTCTGTGCTGCCCCAGAACGCCTTGTTGGAGATTTTTCATTGTCCATTTTTTTCTTCCTGGGTATAGTGACGTAACCATACCCAAATGGACCAATTGGTCCAAATGGACCAATCCGCGGAGCCGTTACGTTACGTCCGCGGATTGGTCCATTTCTCAGCCTGAGACGGCGGGACCCGGCGAGGCTGTGAGTCTGTGTGTGAGCATACACAAAGACTCACAGCCAGGCTGCGGGTGTGTGCTCGGGCTGGTTTCGGGCTGGGTTTCGCTGTGTCTCGCCGACCCCACGCAGCAACCAGGAAACCACACCAGTAAGCCAGCTCACACTGTCCACTCCTCGCAGCAGCGAGCCTCGCAACGTCCCGCCAACACGGCACCCAGACCCCACGCAGCATTCTCATCTGTTTGTCATTTTCTGGTTGCTAACGCCATTGTAACACATAATCACTGATGTTCCGCTGTAACGGTGGTGGACTCATCAGAACAGAGTGGGCGAGCTGACCAATCAGAGTACACTGGGCTCACAGGGAGGGGGGGGCAGGAGCTCCAACAAGCCGTTTAGGACAGAGAGTGAATACACATACTATACAGAGATGCTGTATGAGAAACCAATGGGATTTTGGAACATTGAACAATGTAAATCTATTCTAGTATACCTCAACAATGGAATTATGATCAGTAGAAATGGCCATGTCATGGGACCTTTAACTTGTCTGATGAATAATGTAACAGTTACAGCGGCATCTGGTGGTCAAATTACAAATGCTTGGACTCTGCTTCCCTCTATTAAATGGACCTATGTTTTCTATTTGTGTGTAGGTATGTTCATTTGATAGCGCTGCCCTTGAGAGACAATACCAGCTGAATCCTCAGGGCCAACTTCCCTTCAAGATCAGAAGATTTTCATACACGCTTGACTTCTCTAGTAAGGAACACACATACAGCTACACAGCCACTGCTGCTAAACAAAACAATCAATCGTTTTGCTTTTGTAGAGGAGCGCAGTTTGAATTGCCATTTAAACCCTGTACGCTTGTCTGTCCAAGGCATGAGTCAAGCCAATGACACTATCGGGACCAGGAGAGCAGTGAGGAGGACTGCTGACTCTGGAGGTCAACAGGACAGCAGGTCAGGAGATACATTTCACCCTTAAACCACCACCATAATAATCCTTAATAACCTTTGAACACATACCATACTTCTTATTTGAATTAACCAAAGTCCCCTCATTTGAAAATATACTATATTAGAAAGTAATTGCAATTTCAGGGGTACCTCTTAATTAATACTATACTTCACCTTCCTAATAATTCATTTGGTTTGTGTTATTAAGTAGAAAGGGGTCAAAAGACAAACACTGAAACCCAATTACACGTGAAGTGAAATGTTCCTTATTCCCTTCTCATTTGTAAATACATTTTCTGCTAGACTCATGTCTCTGTCTCTTATGTGCCAAATCTGCCTGGCAACACCAGCTCATTTAATGTGGCAGTAATATGTGAACAGTGTATGCTCCTGTGAATATGTTCCACTTATATTATTCTATTCTGCAGTTTGGGCACTTCACCACGATGGCAGTTTCAGGATATCGGTGGAATGTGGAAAGATTATTCAAATTCCAAAAGCAGCATTTCCAGTCAGGACATTGAGCGGCAATACCAACAGACCCCGTCAGGCTCCATGAAGTTTACCGCCAACAGGTTTAGCTATGAGCTAAACTTCTCAGGTGTGCTAAAGCTCTGTTTTGTAATGTCCCCCTTTCAAAATAAGGTGGTCATTTCACAGTAATGAATCATTCTGTTTATCAGGAGTCTAAATGTGCATTGATTTCTCTTTTCGCAGCCATGACTCAGAAGAACATGTCCACAACCACCACCCGATCAGTGAGGAGACTCACCCAGTGACTGGGACGTCAACAGATGTAGAAGTCGTCTTAATGTAATCCTCACACTGACCTTACTTCCTGCCTCAGGTTGTCTCTCAATAGAATTATTCTGCACTGATTTTCCCAAACTGTCTTTCATTTTTCTTATTGAATGACACAATAATTACTTTAAACATGAAGTTGTCAGGGATTTTTCATATTGACTAATTTAACTTATCCCCTCTAGCGTCTTATAGTGGCATTGCTCTCTATGATTAGATTTAGAAGCTTTGGTTAGGTTACTTTAAGACATCATAAAGATACGTTTTTGGGGTTTTAATCAGGTTGCGTTCAGATAAAAGGGGAACTCCACTGATATGACATTGCTCTGTCTGTTTACAGGTATTGGGGAGCACTCTTGCTTATGTGGATAATGTTGTATAAAGCTATTGGGACTCAAAATATAAGTTAAATCTGAACAAAATTGACTCGAGCGATGTAAAAAATTGAGTCGGTTGGCGCTAAAGACAATTTAAAACATCTTGGGGTGTGGAGAACTTATCTTTGTTTGAGGCTTCAGCTTGAGGCTACAATAGCAGCAAGTAGTAGCATAACACTGCCAAACCTTTGACCAGAATGTCAACCGCCAAGTTGCATTGTGGGTAATTTAATCACAAGTGCGTGAAATAAAAAAGAAATACCTTGTGTTCTGCTGCATCAACTAGGATTTATTTTTGTTTAAAACTGTCCGGCAATATTATAGCACAGACATACTGAATCAGGGAAGTACTATTAATGAAAGAAAAATACCTCTTTTTAGCATCCTAACATGTTTATGATTCATGAATACTGTCTTTTAATCAGGGTTCTTTAAAAAAAGATATATATATATATTGTTTACCTTTTTTACCTTGAACCAACAAGTTGACTTAGATGTATATTTAAAGCTGTCTGCTAATGTGCATAAACATTTCAAAATACTACCATTTCTGCACTTCATTTCTACATTAAAGTGATTTAAAGTCCACGGTCTGATGCAGTGATTCAAGCCATCACACAAATAACCAGCAGCCTTTGAGAGGTTAGATTGTGTACTTTCCTTTATATGTACAGATTTTCAGTGAACCACCTCAGAGACCGGCACCTCAACACGTAATACAAGGGCAACACTACACACATATCGACAGCAGTGGTATACAAACAATCTCATAGAAGAATACGCTTTCTGCTTTGGGGTTCTGCTAGGATAATGTGACTCACAGATCACATTCAATTGAGATGAAATCAAAACCACCACACAATTTACGCCGAATCACTGAGACATTTGTAGTCTTGTATGACAAAAATTGGGGAATGTAGAGTCAAATTCACACTGCCATGCGGATTGAAGGAGCTCACCTTGTCAAAGAGGCATTAATACACAGAAACAAAAAATGAATCCAGTAACAAACAGCGTATTAACAATCACTGTGAACACACTGTGACCGAGGTTCATCTAAAAACCCTAAAGTGGTGTAGTTATCTTCCAAAATGTAAGATTTAGAATGAGTACACATTTTTAGAAATCTGACAACACTATGTCGTTTTTTTTCAGTCGGGTGGAGATTAATGTAAGGAGCCATTCCATGTTCACGCTTAACAACCGACGAGGATTATTGCACCAACTCATCTAAGGCCTCTCAACCATTATCACAGGGATGTAAAAAGGCCCTCACAGAGCAACCCATCTTTAAATAACTATATCATATATACACTTCTTCATAACCAGCACTGGTCCTCAGACAGCTGAAAATATATAGCAATCATCTTCATCATTGTATAAATTGGTCAACAGGAAGGAGGATATGGAGACGCTTATAAACTTCCAAATAGTTTTTCACTGGAATCTTTATCGGAAAATAAGCTAAAAATCGAACTTTAGATCTTTTGTGGTCAAGTTCAGTAACATGCGACAAAGCAAGTCATTTGAGAAGCAAAGACAGCGGATTAAAAAGTGAAATTATGAATACTTGAGTAACAGATGAGTGCTGTCCGTCTAATCCTACACATGTACCCATGTAAGGCACAACAGCCTAAGCAGTGCATGTGGTCCTTCACGTTTGCCTTTAGCATTAGCATCTTTTTAAAGGACGCTGCTGTAATAGCTAATCCACACATCCTATTCCACTATAAGACACATAAATCGTCCATACTGCATTTACCAGAGAACAGTAACCCTTCCCTTTTCAACATGCTTGCTTGGAAGTCGAGAAACAAGCAAATAAGAGCATGTTTTGCAGCTTTTGAACCTGATGTTGAAAGAATAAGACAAAAGGGTCAAACTGGATCATCAGTCCACTCGGAGGTGCTGCAGAGACACAGTTACCATGGAGACGGACTGCAGTGGGGCTACCTCTCCCATCTAAACTGCGACTGTTGGGCTTTCCATTTTCCTCCTTTCAGATTGTCTCTGGAGGAGCTTCCTGGATGCAGATCAGTGCTACTCTTCAAGCCCCCTCCCACTGGGCTCTGACATTTATTTTTAAGCCAACTCTCTGATCCCTTTAGACATGCAGCCAATCTTAAAATAGTCCAGAGAAGCAATAAAGATACAGCAGCCTGAAACTGAGCAGATGTGAAGCCACTTTTTTCCTTATTTTTCTGCCAATTTTGAGGGGTGATTCAGCCACTCAATCACTCATGATATGAACACAAAACTCTCCTGAATTAACTGAGTTGGGATTCATCTCAACTCACGACGTTGGGACGCCCGAGAATGTCAAGTAGAAAATCAGTAGGAAACCGCAGCATGTAAAGAAACACAGCTTAGAAGAATTAGTACCCACCCCAGCCTTTTGTCCTTGTGGTCAAGTAGAAATTGAATCAGGCGCAGGTTAATTTGCCAGCCGAATGTGAGCAGAATTTATACTAGATCATGTTTAAAAATACACACAGCAACACCCTTGATCGGATTTGAAATCTTCACATTCAATCAGTCTCTTGTTCAAGGTTCTCTTATCCAAAATTACTAAAATAATATGTTTAACCTGGCAATCTAGCCGAACAAGTCTTTCAGATCGTTGTTGACAGATGCGCTATGTTTAATTCCACTTTGGTTCAGGGGGCTGGGGGCAGCAGCGGAGGGTGGAGCAAAGTTCTGCGGGCTGAAAAAAGGGTTTGCTTGCATCCCGAAGCTGCTGGGCACCCCTCCCATAGCAACAGGAGCAGCGTGCATCTGAGTCTGAGCGTTCTGGGCCGAACCAAACTGATTGAGCCACGGGGCGTTGGTGCTGGGCGGGGCCATTTGGTTGAGGGTGACTTTGGGCTGGCTGGGTTTAAAAAGACTGTCCAACGCTGACAGATCTTTATTGGTCTGCCCGATGGGTCCTTGACTCTGCGTCAGAGCTCCGAAGTTGGGGGTGCTGGTGGTGGTTGCCATGCCGCTGTAGAGGCCGGGGCCCGCAGGACGCATGCCCATCCCCATGCCCCCTGCCTGGAAGCCCATGGACGGGTTGAAGCCGTTGGAGACTGGGACGCCCATGGAGCCGACCATGGGGCCGGGGGAGGGGAAGGCAGCGATGGTGGAGCCCTGCACTGGGGAGGGGCGAGCCGTGTTGGCCAATGAGAGGCTGTTTAGCGAGGTCATGTTGAGCAGGCTGCTGGTAAGATCTTTAGTCTGCAAGAAAAACAAGATGCGGGTTTAAACTCATCAAGTGTTTTATAAGGAGACCCTGAGAGGCAACAGAGTATGACAAATGTTGGTGATATATTGTTTTTGAGTCAGATTTAATTATGTTTGTGGCTTAGGAACGGATGGAGAAAGAAGAGTTTCGCCTGCATGATTTTGTACATATATTTTGTGAACACTAACCCCGGCATGGAGAAATCACCTGGAAATAAACCATGAGAGATTTCAGTCCTATTTATGACATGGGGTAGTGGTGCAGAGCAAACACTTATCAACTAGAAAAATGAAAAATGTTCCCCATACCAATTTAATTAAGGGCTTTAGAAATATCATGTAGGCAAACCTTTTCTCACCTGTACTTAAGTCATAATTAGAGGAGGGAAAACTATTTAGATCAGTCTTAGAAAAATGGATTTCCACATTTGTCTTTCCCTCAGTTGCCTCTCCGTAGTTAGTTTTCTGTTCTTTGTGCACATAGATGTTTTGAGGCGTTACCTTGGTGTTGGAAGTGTTGGCTGGTTTGATGCTCTGAGGCGCTAAAGGCTGCTGGTTCCTCAGCTTGACGGCCTGCTCCTGCTCCTTAGCCAATCGCTGCTTCTCCTCCAGAGTCAGAGACATCTATGCGGGGTGCAAAACAAGAGAGACCGTGGAGAAATTAGACTGGTACCTAAAAGGTGGACATTTCTGGATATTAGGTATGACATTGTTTGCATACTCTATTAGGCTGTGGGGCGGCTGCTGCAGGTCCATTCTCTTTCCCGTTAACCCCTGAGGAGCCGAAGATATCATCAATCTGAAAAAAAGACACATTTCAATTGAATCTTTGCACCACAGAAAGGTATAAAACAAGAACTTCATTGTAAAGAAATTGTGTTCACACAGTACTTTAAATATAACCTCATGTTGTCATAGAAACACCCTCTCACCTGGTTGCTGCTGTTAGGAGGGCTCTTGTTCATCTCTGTCTGGTTCCCTGGGTTTGGGATGTTTATACTCCTGTTAGAAGAGACACAATGAACTGAATCAGGAAGCGAAAGGATTTGAACGGAGGCATTCATAAGAGCATGGTTAGTCATGCCATTATCATATTCATGTGGCCAGGATCAAATGCTAATTGCTTTCTGAGACAGATCCATTACCCCAGATGATAGTTTGTATAAAATCCCCATTAATATGTATAACCATTTCAGATTTAGTCAGAGAGATTCCAAAGGAGGATATAGTGGTGGGTGATTCATTAAATGCGACACGCACCTCTGCTGCTCCTGCATGCTGTGCAGCTGCTCCAACTTGGTCTTGTGTTCGGCCTCCATCCGATTCAGCATTTCCCGAATGACCGCCATGAACGAGTTAAACTGGGATGAATTGGACAATATTACATAAAAGGGAACAAACTTTATGCAATTATGCAGATGATCAACATATGTCGCATGTGTGTTATACCTGGCTAAGGTTGAGGTTGTTGTCTATACTCAGAGAGACCAGGTGGGGCAGGCTCTTGGTGGCAAGGTGTTCTTTGGGGATGCCCAGCTTCTTGTGGCTGAAGGTGCACTTATAGATTCCTACAAGAATTCAGAAGTCAAATAACCAATCATTAAGTGTTTAAAATATGCCAGTCAGTAGTGATGCACACAGGGACATATATGTGACTTTGTATTTGTTATTATCTACCTAGCAGAGGTGGGAGAAGAGATCTTGTAGTTAAGTAAAAGTAGAAGTACCAGAGTGTAGGAATACTCTGTTACAACTTGTACAAAATCCTGCATTCAAAATGTTACCCGAGTTAAAGTACAAAAGTATTAGCATAAAAATATACTTAAAGTACCAAAAGTAAAAGTACTCATTAAGTGTGCAGATTGGTCCATTTCAGAATAATATATATGATATGTTTTATAATGATTGATCATTAAAGTGTTCTCAAAGCTGGTAAAGGTGCAGCTAGTTTGAATGACTTTGTATACTGCAGGGTAGCTTGTGAATTTACTCCAGGTGGAACTAAAGTCTGATTTAACACTTGATTATAATTCAAATCATTAATAAAATGTTGAAAAGTAACTAAAGGTATTAAATAAATGTAGTGGGTAGAAGTACAAAATAGCCAAACAATTGACTTAAGTACAGTGCTTGAGTAAATGTACTTAATTACTTTACACCACTGCTTTCTAGAACGTTTTAATTCAATCGCATGTTAATAACAAAACGTCTATTTAGAAATGTGCATTTTTCTCCAAAACTGCTTCAGGACATTCTCTTACTTTTCCACCAACAAATCTAAAAATTACAAATATCTCAATTTTCTAGATCATTCAAATTCAGCTAAAAGAAAGAAATGCAGTAAATCATACTTTATCTAAAAATGTTTACTTAACGAAAGGAAGCTAGTCCAACATATTTTTATAACAAACTGTTTGAGGACTTTTAGATGTCTTCTTCACTTCAATTTGACATCATGATCTGTGTGTGGCTGTTTTTTATCTGAGCAATGGCTGACAGATCAGTTTATCTCTAGTAGACGTTGAGTGGAGTGTGGCTTGTCCTTTTTCTTTACCCAGAATCCCCATGAGTACTGCTGGTTCTCTGGAGGGGATCTGTTGTAGGAAGGGCAGGATCTCATCGATGACGTACCACTTGTCAAGATATTCCAAAATCTTCCCCAGACACACCAGGGAGTTCACTCGTACCTACCGATAACATGGAAAGATACTTAAAACATCTAAATACATTTGAAACTCAAACATTTCAGTAGTTGGTAGAAGAGTAGAATAAAGGTGTTACAAAGGGACAAGGTAAACAGTATAGACACCTAAAAGGAATCACTATAGAAAAACTATTGTTGCCTGGGAAACAGTACAAGCTGAGAGCAGAAAATGTTGATATTGGAGACTCACAGCAAGTGAAGAGGTCTGTAGGCAGGCGGATTTGATTCGAGGGATGAGAGCGTTCTTCATGGACGGGTAGTCAATCAGGTTGGCAAACGTTGGGATGATGTTCAGGCACAGCTCCTGCTCAGCCATGGATAACACACAAGTTAGGAAATCTGACATTTATATGATGCCAATTAGGGCTGTGCAATTAATCGTATTTTAATCTCGATTACGATTTTGGCTTGCAACGATTATGAAAACAACGTAATCGAAATAAAACGATTATTATTTTTATAAAAAAAATGTAAAAAATGTAATTATTATTATTTAAAAAAAAAAAAAATGTATTGGTTTTTCAGTTGAATTATACTTAAAGTTCAGGGTAATCAACTGTTAAAAACATACTGTTCACATTTTTGTTTCAATAAATGGATGTTTTCAAAGTAAATGGATAATCGTTTTTAATAATCGTGATATCAATTATTGACCAAAATAATCGTGATTAGGATTTTTGCCATAATCGCACAGCCCTAATGCCAATGCATCAAATCTAACTCTGCTCTGAAAAGCAGCATGAAAACACAATGATGCCATGTTCAGTAATTGATTTAGTGTTGACTTCTCTGTTTTACAGGGTCTCCAACTGCCTGAGTTTACCTGAAACTCAGCAAAACGTCAAATACTAAGCAGCCCTACCCCCCCCCCCCCATACCTGGATCTGTACAGAAGGCGCTTCCAGGGCTCTGTAGACCATCGGCAGCACGCTGTTCTTAATCTCCTCTGAGGGGGTCTTGGTCAACAGCAGGTCCATCTTCTGAAGGAATATCAGCAGGATCTGCGCAGCACAGCGACTCAGTCAGGAAAACAAAAGCTCATGATGTTCTCTACATATGACTGAAGTAGTAAATGGAAGAGGCGGGGCTATAGGTGGCTTTAGATGAGCATTAATTTAGACAGACAACACAAACTAGTGACTGGAGCATATTCACAGCAAAGACCACTCACCATGTTACTAGCCTGAAGATGCATGGGAAGAGAAATACAGAGAGAGACAAGTCTTGATAAAGTGACAGACCAAAGCCAAACAAAGCATGCTCTTTAGATATATTTAATCAAATCCGCAAAACAAATGCCAAAGGGGCGAAATGATCATGCAAAGATTTAAAGAGGGAAAGCACATTCTAGCCAAAGCTTACAAACAATAGTCATTTGTAACGCTTGTTTCTGTGAGGGTGTACCTGAATGGGCTCCTGCTGCTTGAAAACAGGCGTGAGGTCGGGCATGATGAGCCGGACGTACTCCTCCTTGGTGCACTGCTCTGCGATCAGCAGCACGTTGGGCAGCACGAAGGGAACCATGTCCGGGTTCACAAACTCTGAGGTCAGAGCCGGAAGGATCCGATACACCACCACTCTCTGAGAGACAGGAGTGGGTCACAGAAGCCATGAAAGAATACTCAGACTGTAATACTGTATGTTCATGATGAGTTCTCAAGGGACCACATTAAGGGAAGACAAAACAGGAACTAAACATTTCAAGAAACTGTGCAAGAAATGGACTCACAAGTGCATGTTTTTGTACTGTGCCAGTTAACACACAACTAAACAGAAATAGAAGCACTGAAAGCATCATTACAGTAACATCAGTTATTCAAAAAGTTGGACCTCAAATGGATCTAAACATGCAGTACCCATTCAGTAAACACATTTAGAAAATATTGCAGTTTAGCAAACACTAGATGTTCTTTTAAAAGTCCTGATATAACAGGGAATGATAGGTCTGAAATCAGTAGGCCTTTTGGCTATTTTTATAAAATTCCGATAAACACTTTTGACCTGATAAAGGTTGCATTCCCTGTACAAAATGTACAATCAGTTACCTTGGGGAGTTTGGGCAGGACTTTAGGGAGGCCTTTGTAGAACTGGGACTTCTGTAGATTGTCTCTCTGGAAGAGGGAGTCAAAGTACTGCAGGGTCACAGCACCCACGTCGTCAAAAAATGGAATCTGAACAAAACACACAAAAACAGAACGAGAAAAATGTGTCCTTAAAGAAAATGCAGATCAAATTAGATATCACCTACATAAGCACATACGCTTTCTTTGTATCTCCAGACATGTAGTGCCAACAATGCAAACCTTGGTCATCTGATCAGCATCCGGTCGCACGTTGGGTGTGACGCTGAGCAGCATCTTGACGTGTTCCCGAACCTCCTCTGGGAGCTTGTTCAGCACTGCTGGACTTATGCTGCTCAGCTGGAATTGAAAAACATAGACGGAATGGATCACAACAGAGATGAGAACCAGTGTTTTAGTCGCAAAAGTAAAAAACTCTTGAGATATTCTTAAAAATCTAGTCATGCAGCAGACTACTAAATTGGCGGGAGCTCAAGTCCTCAGTAGCTTGTCCTGAATTAGCTCCACCCACCTGGTCCAGTTGCCTGCTGAAGCTCTTGAATATGTCGTGCTTGTTGACTTGGAAAACAGGCTTGCCCTCGTTGAAGACGGCATGCATGACCACGCCCAGCGAGTACATGTCGGAGGCGGAGTCACAGCTGACGGACAGGATGTACTCGGGGGCCAGGTACTCAGGGTTAGGGAGGGAGAGTGGGGGGAGGTTGGGCTCCCACTCTTTACATGTGTACTTAGGCTGAGGAAGATGAGAGAACATGAGGAGATAAAGATGTGACAATACTCCAAGATGTTAATTTGGTAGAGCATTCAAAATCAAAGTGATCCAACACACCTCAGCGTCTGAGGGGTTGTTGGAGGAGATGCTGAAGTCAAAGCCCATGATCTTCCAGGCTCCGCTCTTGTTCAGGATGATGTTCTCTGGACACAGGTTGCCGTGGACCATTTTCACCCCGCTGTGGAGAAAAGACAATCCCTCGGAGATCTGAGGGGAAGGAGGAAGGAAAATGTCAGGGTTTGGTGTTAAAGGGTGAAACCGTTTCTGTTATAACTACAGGATTAGTACATGGTTTCTATGGCAGTCATCACTTCCTTATCTTATATAAGCTGTGGAAAAGGCAAGAAATCTGTAATTAAGATCATATGGGAACACATGTGAGAACATAATGAGGACTGATATACTTCAAGGAGAGGCGTGAAATGGAGCTGGTACAACTGTACTAGCATATTCATTCATATTAGACTTTCCAATGCAGACGTTCCAATTTAATTTAGCCACTACTTAGGAATCACCGTTTGATGGAGATGTAAAAGCTTAGAAATTCACAAGTTGGGTTTGAACAGACGTATTTCAGTTCATAAAACAAAGGTGAAAACTCTTAGGCTTGTTTTCACCACAGAGCATCCTTCAGGCCTCTAACCAAAAACCCATAAAAACCCCACTAACTTAAGACTTGTTCGTGCAAGCGTGTTCTCATTTAACAATGTTTCAGTATACATCTGACAAATGGACACTAAACCAAAAACTAGAACTAAACTGTTATTTGCCAATGAGCAACAGTGTACACATCATGTATGGCGCAGTAATTACAGATGTTGATGATTACCAAGACGTTTATTATATACAAAGCAAATCATTGGCAACAAGTCATCCAATTGGCAACATATTAAGATAAGCATGTGTTGCAGATTAAGCCAGCTAACCTGTCTGCACTCTCACCTGCAGCAGTCCAAACTTGGTCTCCACGTCGTACAGTTTGTACTCCTTGATGTCGGTGGGCAGGGGGGTGGGCAGGTTCTCCCTCTGGCCCAGCACGTTGGCCAGACTGGCAAACACGGGCTCCGTGCAGAACGCCAAGCAGTCTCTGAGGGCCACACAGAAAATCTACATCAGTATCATTTGAAACAACCGCTTTGTAAATGTCGAGTTATTCCTCAACAGACACTTAGAGCAACATGAGGAAAGGCAAAACAGAAACATTTTGAATGTTGAGTTTCCCTAGGTGTAAGTTTAAAAGAAAAAGTGGCAAAAAGAAAGTAACTTAAAGACAGCGTCAACCTTTTCTGGCCCTCAGGGGCATAAATTATTCAGTCTGCAGAGTCTTTGATCATGACAAGCTCCTGCTCACATATGCACAAACAGAGGCAGGCAAATACATTTGTTATGCAACTTTGTCAAGCCTCTCTCTGAGGTGTGACTCTTTCCTTGGTTTGTGTGTTTGTGTCAGTGTGTGTGTGTGTGTGTGTGTGTGTGTGTGTGTGTGTGTGTGTGTGTGTGTGTTAATCACCGTGACTCTTCAAGAGGATGCTGCACAGTCAGGAGACGGGGGTGACGCAGTCTGGTCAGCTGTTGCACCCCTTTTTTCAGCGAATCCACAATTTGGTCCTTCTCAAATTTCTGATACTTATCAACCGTCTTCTTATCAAACACAAACACTGCGACTTCCTGAAGGGATAAAGAAGATCAACAAGGGACTGAAATGAGCTTCAACAAGGCACACAGCACATGCTTAGTCAGATTGTTCACATTTAAAATCAAACCTTTATGAAAGGGGAGTGGGCAGGGGGAGGATATCAACACACAAACCTGTTTGGTGGACTTCTTGGTGCCGTTATAGATCCTCCAGCACAAGCCAGGACCCCCGCTGGCAATATGTCGTCCAACCTCAAACTCCCGTGTCACCGGGTTGCCCATGACAGCGCTGGTGACATCTGCCGTCACCTTGGTGACGGTGCTTTTTAGCTTGTTAAGCATAGACTCCATGTTCACGCCTGACCTGGCAGCTGAAGTGAGAGTGGTGAAAAACAGTGACAGAAAAATTAAAGAGGTACAGAACTGTCAGTCAAATGTCAGCCAAAGTATTTTCAATCAATGAAAGAGGCAGCTTCATAATAAACCTTTCTAGCTCAGCATAAGCCTTTAACATTCAGTTTGACACACACTTTAAGGCACCTGCTTGAATTTGCACATCAGAGTGCCCACTGGCTGAGGAGAATAAACACTGCAACAGCACAAGCTGCCCTCTGAAATATAAAGTGACTCAGGGCAAACTAAGCAACACACCCCACGTTAAGTCCCTCTTTCAAAATACTTCAGAGTGACTTGAAAAGCATGTTAGGCAACAGGAAGCCAGACAAAAGAACATGGCTGAGAGTAATGTAGCCAAATCATTTCATCGTGAACTATTTCTTCAGGGTTTTCTAGGACTTTGATGTTTATTTTACTGCACTGCAACAAGGCTGAGTAAGCTACTGACTATACATTGAGATGCACACAGTACTGTATGCATAATATATTCCTTACAGATTCATGCATTAATAATAATATTGAGCATCCGTATTAAACGGATCAACAAACTCTTTATCAGAAATTGACGGCCCTTGCCAAAAGCCACCCCAGCCAATTCTGTTAATAGAATCCCTGCTTTTACTGTACTTCTAACATTGTATATAATGCTGATATACAGTATTACCCTGCACTTCCCTAAGGCTCGGACACTTATGTATCTCAGCCATTGCCAACTACTGTAACACTACATGAACAGCAAAATTGAGGGTTCACAGAAATATGAAATCTATCAATAAGTCAGTGTGTTCTTAGTCTTCGTCCTTTTGTACATTTCTTATAACAGCCAGATGTATTTAAACCTAACACAAAACAATATAGTGCAAAGAAGTAGAGCTGTGCTGAGAGGGATGCAAGATTTCAGGTCTGATATACTAAATTGTAACAGAAATCATAATAACACTGCCATAACTGTGTCATTGCTCCTGGTTTGCTGTGTGATGGATAGTGGGTGGTCTGCAACCAAAAAAGACAAACCAAAGGAAACAAGATTTTCTAGATGCAGATCTATTGGTATTAAGCCCAATAAATGAACCATAGTTGATCAAATATTTCCCCTAGCATTAGGCTAGATTTAAAGATTTAATCTGCAACAGGTTTGAAGGATGTGCAAAAAAGCACAACGTCATTTTGATGTCATATTACACGTACCACCTGTCAACATTATAATCTGCCCAGACAAACAGGTAGACTGAGCAGCCTGTGCACCTGCACTGAGCCTAACTAGCCCAGTAGCTAGCTAGCTAGCTAGCCACCAAGATACCAGGCAGTTTATTATTACGATCTTACTAACATAGTTATGATTTGACAGGGTATTCATTAGGTTAAACAACAATTTCAGCGACCGGTTGAAGCATTTAAATGGTTTATATGTCGCTTGTCAGGACTGTCACGTTTGATTGGGAAATAGCTGTATGTTAGCTAAGTTAATCGCCTTGTTTAGCCTGTGACTAACGCATCAAAACAAGCCCCGCACTGTGACGCTAAGTAAGCAGTTATTAGGTACATGTCCTCAACATATGTGGCTTTATAAGGATGACATCGTTGCAATATGTTGGATACCGTGAAAGACTTTTACACCAAACCATCGCAGTAGCTACCTGCTAACAAGCCAACAATGCGCAAGTACAGTGACGATTCTGTCATTACAAGAGAGGTGGCTTCAGTCCTCACTGTCCCTCCGACAGCCTCCAGAAACATACCTTATGATGAAGAGAGCTCTCCGTTTAATGTCTTGTTATAAGAAGACTCTCAGCTGTCAGTAATGGCTGAGAAACACAGCCCCCATGACTTCACTGGCATACGAAATGAAGTAGCTTTAGTGCGCTAGTAGTGAACGAACAACCCTACTTCCGGGTTGTCAGGCTCAACGTCATCAGTTTTTTGATTATCTATTTTTCAGGCACTCCATTAACAAATATACTTTGCATACAATCTCGTGATTCTGTTTTCACAAACGTTCCAAAAGATATCACAGATTTGATGCACATATTTATGGTATATTAAAGCCCCAGAAAAACCTATTAGTTGTATTAATAGCAGTAACAATTATACGTTCCACACACTGCAAGAAAACGCACAAAACATTATATTTGGAAAGATACAAAATATGAACCAACACTGAGAAAAAAAGACTGATATGACAAAACTGACTGTTTCTGATATTGTGTCTTGATTTATTTTACATGCAATGTAACTTGACACATGGGCAAAAAAAAATACATTAGAGTTGTTTGAGAGAAATTCAATTAAACTTTTATTAGACGTGTTATTCAAACATAAAATAAAGCTTGTTTCAGCATCATAAAGTGCAATCCAACATGATTTCAGTGTATGTAAAGAACAAAAGATACTGACTGAGATAACAACTTATGCAAGACCATGGCTTCATTTATTAAAATAATGCAATCAAAATGATTCGTTACCAAAGATTAAATAGGTTTCTTAAAATAATAGTAAGTCATTATTAATTACACATCTTCCATAAAAAGGATCATTGTCCAGCTTTCAAGTACAATTCTAAAAAGTTACAATTAAAAGGCAATTCCATGATAATGGCACTAAAAGTATTCTTAAAACCCCTGAAAATAACATGTATTAACCTGATTAGCCTGGTACAATATTGCACCCTAGCAATTCATATTAGTTTTCATTCTTAAAATCTTTAAAGAAAGATCTGTCTTCATCTCTAACAAAAACAATTTAGCGTTCAACCTCATTCAGCTACATTAGTGTTGCATTTCCAGTATTTCCACTAACCACACAGCCTGCTACAGTAAAACTGGGAGACAACAAAGCCTCCCATAATATGGTTATTCTTGATTAAAGTACTCAGCATTAATTCTGCAAACCACAGCTCCATTTCCAAAGCTTTTCCAATAACCTATTCAAATACAGTCTCCACAGCAGGACCAAGAAGTACATCAATTATTTCAAAAGCTGTTCAACACTTGCAGCCTGAAAACAGCTGGCTACATCTGGTGTCCGATCACGCTTAAGGGTCATTTTCTTCAGTAATCCCTTCAGTTTGCATACACTACATTCTACAGTAATACCAGGACAATCCAGCACAGAGAAGCAAATGCCCTCAGTAAACATTATTCAACTTACAACATTAAATCAGCATCATGATTCTACAATTAAAAAATGGTTACTCATTTGACACATAATGGCAAATGCAACAGATTACTACCCATGTTAAGGCATCTGATGATAAAGATGAGCTGACAATGGATTATTTATAGACTCGTGCAAACTATTCACAACTATAATTAAGCTTTTGACTTAAAATGCGATTTTCATTAGATAGATAATGCATCTATTGCTACAAGAATGTGACCAATGTGGGATAAAAAACGTGATGCAATATTTGCAAATAAAACCAATATTGTAGGCCTCTTGTAAATTAAAGGAATATATGGAAGTCATGCGTTATTGCTCTAGTAGCATCATTTGTATTGATTTTGGTACACATTATACAATTATTATCATTCTTCAGTGTAAGCGCTGTACCACAACAAACTAGGGTTGTGAAGTGCACCTGGGAATTCAAACCAATAACCCTTCAGCTGTGCGTTTTAGAAGGTGCTGGAAAGATGCTGGAGGAAGACCACAGGGTGATGTTTTTCAAACTCTTTGAGCAGCCTCCTCCTCTCTTTGACGGGAATGGTTTCGCTCGAGGCAATATCATGAAGAAGTTGTTTTAGGCTGTGCAGAGTGGTAGCCTCTCGCTGATCCTCGTACTCCTCTGGCGTCACCTGCTGGCAGAATGTGAACGCTGCAACACACAGAGGGGGTCATTTTTCACGTACAACTAGAAAATGTATTTGGGTTATTTCATGTGATGTTGGAAGGTGTATTGTTAACAAGAGTGTGCACATTTATTTAAAGTTGTATTTAACTTACTGGCAATTGAGTCAGGATCTTGGCCCTGCTGCATTGTCCTCAGTGTTCTCCTCACAGATTCAACAAGGGACGTAGGAGTCTGTATTCATTAAGGGGAGAAAGGATTATTAAAATGATGTTGAAACAAATGTGAGTAATTTTTCAACTTTATTCAATTACATCAGAAAAGCATGTTAGTGATAACTGATCAACACATTAAAGTGTACCTTGATGAGCTCAGTGCAATTGTCCATGAGGAACAGCACCAGGGTTTCGCTTTGGTATCGAGTCAGTTCAAGATTCAGGACGATTGCTCTCTGAAAAGTGCGGCACACCAAGGCCCTGTTATCGATCTGAAAGGGAACATATCACAAAGGAAACGGTGATTCAAACACATTTTCCACTGATTCAATGGTGGATATAATACTACAAAATAAAGTTTGGATTAGAACAAAAAAAAGCAGTTGATCAATGTAAAAAAAATACCTGTTTCTGCAGACGGCAGGCATCTGGGTGCGCTGCTGTGGCCATGAAGGTCAGTAGTCTCCGGAGTTCGTCTCTGACGCTCGTCTCTAGCAGCCGAAAACACAGCTGAGATGCTTTGATGGCATCCTGCACCTTCCCCTCATCTGGAGAGACACAAGACATGGTGAGGACAGGGGATGTCAAATATAAATGATCTCTACGACGGATTCATCTTAATGGACGGACACAAAGAAAATCACAGTTCACAATCACATAAACCATTAAATCAGTGTAAAGTCTCACCCAGCAGTTTCAGAATTGCAGCATGTATGTCCAGGTAGCGTCCTGAGAGGAGTGGATATGTTTCCTGTCCACTGTAGTACTTGGCAATGGTGTCAAAGAGCAGTTTCTTTTGGCTGGCCACGTGCTCCGCCTGGTCGTCTTCTGAGAAGGTGCCACCTTGTTGGCTGAGCTGTTCCCCAGCAACCACAATCAGCTGATCTGGAAACAGCTCTAAGCAGTCTGCTGCTGCCGACAGCCACCCATCCAACCTGAAAACCATGAAAGAGAACAGGTTTTTACTGTGGAATTCAATGTACGGTTTGAAGTTCAAACACAAATCAATTCAAGAAGCTGTACAAAATAATATATTTTTGAAGAGTTAGGGTTGGTACAATGAACATGTGGTAATTGTTGGATTTATCTTTGATTGACTTTGGGTTGTACATAAAAGCAATGGTGTAGTAAAATATTTAAGTAATGGAGAAAGGTATACTTCTTTCTACTCCCGTTTGATTATGTAATATTTTGTTTTTTTATATTGTTTATGAGAATTTCTTGTTGATTTCATTTGTATAATCTTTCTGTTCATTATTTGAAAGAGATTTAATAAATACAAATCTCAGTAGATTTCTCAGTTTTTTTATGTCTACTTTGCAAAAGAATCCTGCAGTATTGATGGGAGCACTGACTGGGGCAGGTGCAGGCTGTCGGGAAGCTCTCGGTCCAGGCAGGTGTTGGAGATGACCAGGTCCTGTGAGGCCAGAGGAGCTCTGCAGGCCTTCAGCTGACCTCTGGCAGGAGAGGTCAGGATGCAGTCCAGCATGGGCAGCTCTACGATCTGCAGCAGCTGCAGCAGAGTCTGCTGCTTCCAGACTTCATCCACCACTACGGAAGAAGGAAAGAGGTAAAAATATAAGGAAAAAAAGAATATTGGTCAACCATTAACTGTCATAGGCTGTTGTTCTCCATACTACTGAAGAAAGAGAACTCTATCTTACCAGCTTTGGACAGAAAAGCAGCAGCAGTGTGAGTTGTTTTTAAAGATGGAGACGAGGCTGGGTGCAGGTTGATGTTCCTCAGCAGCCTCTCCACCCTCCGATCTAATGGTCCCACAGCGAGGGGATTACAGATCGTCCGCACCTCATTCAGCCTTCTGAAACAACAAAAAGCATGATGGAGCTAAATACAGGGTTCCCACACATTTGAATGGTCACAGGTTAAACATTTGTTATGACTTCTCAAGGACAAATAATACAACTTTCACGACAATTCACAGCGTATGAGTACACATATACAAACAGAATTGCATATTGCACTTCAAATGTTTATTATGCTATTAAAACATTTAGATAATTGTTTTGATCTCTAAGGAGAACTAATATTTCTACAGGTTTGAAATTCAAATTTCTAGCTTTTTCATGATGGTGGGAACCCTGTTTTTAACCACTTAGGTCTATTTAGAGAAGCTGAACCTTGATATAAAAAGTAAGGATCTTTTGGGTATGTCTGTTAAGGCTTACAAACACTATTGAATTGAATAGTTAATTATGAAGTTGTTTAACTTCTGATGGGATTATTTACTCAACTTCAATGCTTCCTTTTTAGGAAAAAACCTGGCAAATACATCATAAAACATATAATAAAATCAAAGAAGCTATTAATGCTGCCAATATCAATATCAATAGCAAAAATGGCTTCTACACTGCAGAAAAAGGACAGAGAATTTAAAGTAAAGCCTACCTGTAACTCTTCTTCCTCTTTAGCCCCTGTTCCTCTGGAGGCATGTTTTCTGTGTCACTATTGCACTCCTTCATGGCAGAATTGGGTGACACTTTATATTCCAGAAAACGGTAAAGGCTGCAGCTGCTGTCCTCAAAGGTCACGTCTTTGTCCCTGCGAAACAGCTTGGTTCCCACTGGTTCGAACACCTTGGCTTCCATCAGAGCCTGGCACAATCGAGCAGCTTTGAGGCGAGACACTTCACTCGTGCAAAACACCACATTCTGCATCAGATAGCTGAGGACGGCATCCACAGCGTCTGAGCCCGTGAAACATTCGGCATGAACGCGCAGATGCCTTCTACAGCGGCGCACCTCCACCTGAGTCTGCAGGGCCCGGATGATGTTGTGCCACAGCTGGGTGGCCCCGAAAGGCCCCGAGAAGCCTGTTAGCAGACAGAGGGTTAGAGGAAAAGGGGACAAAACAGCTTGAAAAACAATTACAATTTACTAATAACCATGTTCTGTGTCAAACTAAAGGTGAACATGAAAAGCAAATACTGCATTGGGGAAAATAAGATATGTAACAAGGTAATGACATAATAAATAATGACCATTACTCGAAGTTTGCTTACTTTAAAAATGAAGGTAGACCAGCAAATGCTTTAACATTAACAGTAGTTTGTACTGGCATATTCATTGTTGCTTTATTGGAAAACAGTAGTGTTACAGTAGTGTAGTAGAGGATTTACTCAAGTACTCTATGTGCAACGTTTAGGGGCTTGTACTTTACTTAGGTATTTTTAGAGGGAAATCTTTTACTTGTCTCCACATTAATCTGACAGCTACAAGTATTTCATTTACAAATTACAATTTAATGTGTCATCCAAAATATATGATGAGCTAATAAAAGCCGATACTTTTGTTTTAGATTTAAGAATTACAACAGTTACTTACCGTAATAACAATCTCATAACATGGTAACATGTTTACCTACTTTTTTTTAAGGTACGTAAAGCAGTCACACTTTTTCGAACAACCAGTACTTGCTACACTTCGCTAAAGCTACTTTTAAAAACAGGACAAAAACTTCTGTGCACCATATGCTGACACCTTATGCAATGTCCCTGAACTATTATCCATTATACAATTTACCAAATCTATTTGTACATAATGAAAGGCTGACAACACGACCGTTGGGTTATTATGTCAATACTGCACAGCGATTTTGCATTTCTTATACACGGCTTGTGTGGTTGTATTCATATATAGGTAGAGTTATAGCTATATGCAAACGTATTAAGCGTAAGTGCTCAAATCTTACCATGCTGTATATTTTCACGAAAACTTCTCGTTTGGCTGTTCAACCTTCTGAAACGAGGAGTCAAATCGACCGCCATCACCAGAAATGCGTGACGTAATACGTTTGAGAAAGAAGACGGCGCACGTTCTTCTTCTTCTTCGTCTTCTCTCGGTTTTTGGCGGATTACAAACAACTTTAAGGTGCATACCGCCACCTACTGTACATGAGTGTGAACCATCATATCATTCCATCTCTTAACTCATGGACGTATATCTATGATCTATCTAATCAAAAATAAATAAATAAACAAAAAACATAAAATAAATAAAACAAAACAACAATCTATGATCTATTCTAACCTAATGTTAAATTCTTTTTCCTACCCGTTTCACTCAGAAAGGTAAACAGTGCCTTTGGTAGCTCTTACCCTCTCCTTTTGTTCCCAGAATACCAACCACATTCAACTCCCTCTCTGCCTCTAAAACTTTATCCTTTAGTTTTTCTCTTTCAGCTTTATAGATGTCACAATGTAACAAGATATGTTCCACATTTTCTTTAACTCCACAGTTCCTACTTGTCACTGTCACTTTTCCCCATGCTATACAGCGTACCATTCAATGCTGCGATTCAGTCTGAGTCTATCATGATTTCCTCCCTTCTGTTTCTTTCTTTATAAATATGAATTGTGATTGTCTTTTGAACTTTATGATACTCTTTGCCTTTCTGGTCTTTCTCCCACCTTTTCTGACAGATCTCCATCCCTTTTTTCTTAATTACTGCTTTTCCTTCTCCTTTTCCAAGTTGAACTGGTAATGTTATTTCCTTTTGTAGTGCACTTTTTGCTAATTTATCAGCACACTCGTTCCCTTTTACCCCCTCATGTGCAGGCACCCAGCAGAACTGAAGATCTATACCACCTCTGTGAAGTCTTAGGCTATGATTAAGTTCTATGAGAATGTCTTCTCTGACAGTTGTTGTTGACTGTATGCTTTTTAATATGGACAATGAATCTGTGCATATCACCACCCTATCTGGTCTGACCTCTTCAACCCACTGTAATCCTATTATTACTGACAGCATTTCTGCTGTATACACTGATAATTGATCAGACGCTCTTTTGGAGATCGATATTTTAAAGTCTGGGATGTATATACCAACTCCAACACACTCTTCCTTGTTCTTAGAACCATCTGTGTAAATGTTGAGGTAATTGTAGTACTTTTCGTTCAGGTACATACTCGTTTTAATTCCCACTTCATTTATTTGCCACTTTTTTTTCCTTTCTATGATACTCATATCTATGTTAGCTTCTGGGAAAGCCATGGGGGAACATTGCTAAATGGGGTTGCTTTGGCAAACGTGATGGTCTCCACTCCATATGTCCTCATTCTCTCCTTACTTGTCCAGCCAAACCTACGCCCCTGGAACTTTGCATATTCCCAGCAATTCTGTAATATTCTGTTTGTAATATTTTCCTCTCCACTTCCTTGTAGTCTGACCCAGTATGATAGAGCAAGTTTCTCTCTTCTGATCTCCAGAGGTGTCTCTCCTGCTTCTATCAGAACTGTATTAATAGGGGATGACTTTATCGCTCCAATACACAGCCGCAATGCTTTATATTGTATTCTATCAATTTGTAAAAGCGATGTTTTTGCTGCTGCTCCATACACTATACAACCATAGTCTATTGTGGACCTCATAATTGATCTGTAAATCTCTATTAATGCTTGTTTGTCTGCGCCCCAGTTGCATCAACAGCTCGCAATAAATGTAATACTTTTTTGCATTTTGTTTCCACTTGATTAATATGCATTTTCCATGTGTATTTGCTATCAAACCACAGTCCTAGGTATTTGAACTCATTCACCTTTGTCATTGGAAGATTATATAGTGTTAGCTGTTGGCCATCAATATTGCGTTTATTTGTAAATACCATGTAGCATGACTTGCTTTCTGACATTTTGAATCCCCAGTTATATGACCACCTCTCCACTTTTTTAATTGCTCTAGCTATATTCTCCATTACGTATGGGGCATTTCTTCCCCTCATCCAAATAGCTACGGACAGCGTTGAAAACGACGGCGCACGTTTCTTGTTTCTGTGTCACGTGGTTTGCCACTATTGCTGCTGCTCCCATACCATACTTTACATTATTAAAAATACATAGCCTATTTTATTAAACATAAGCTATCTTAAGTTATAGAACATATATCAAATATTTGATTAAATACTTAAATTCAAGTACTTATTTAATTTAAATACTGTTAGTCCTGCACAACCCTCCAATATTTTTGCACATCTGTATACAGAGCTACCTCTTTCTGCACAGCTTTTCACTTTTCGTAAAACAATCCTGCACGTATTTTCTTCTGAATCTTATATTTCCCTATATTTTGTATGTTATTATAGTTTTTTTTTCTCCTAATTGTATTAGTTTTTGGCTGTTTTTCTAACAATGTATCTTCTTTAAATGTGTTTATGTCTGCACCATTTACACCGTGGCAAATTCATCATATGTGTAACCCTACTTGGAAATAAACCTGCTTCTGATTCTGTTCTGAAACCCTTCTCATGTAAACAACACCCCCCCCCCCCCTTGCTTCTTATTCTTCTTATTCTAATCATACAGCATGCTGCTGCCCTCTACAGGGAACAACACGTGGGCAAGACCCTTCAGCTTCTAATGTACAGTATATTCATTATCTTATAAATAAGAAGCTTCAAATAGCCTTATATTTTCATTAAGAAAAAGAAGAAATAAGATGATTAACCAAAGTGTGAATTAACAGTCGTTCTTTTTTTGCTTTGTTTTTTTCTTCCCTGTAGAAAAATATGCTGCACTGTCTCCATCTGCCTAGCCATCTGCGCTTTTGTTTGTTTGTGATGTTTATAGAGCCAGGCCAAAGTGACCAAGTTGTAAATACAACAGAATAATAAAACATTATTGTGACTATAGTATGTTTAAAGGAAAACACAATAATGTTTTGATGTGATTTTGATGTGATTCTACAATTTAGGGTACATTCCATGTCCATTGATGTCCATTGATGATAATTATAATTATTCTAAAAATATAATATTTTGCCTATTATTGGAAACATGTTATAATATCACACAAACATTATGAGCATCCTATGCTTTATTTAGCTTGAAATGTGTCATGATGTTCTTAAATTGTCAGTTTTTGCTATGTCCGTTTTTCAGTTGAGGGTGTCTTGGTTTCAAAATAATGAAGAAAAACCATTAAAGTAAATAAAAACTATTATTCATTTATTTCAAAAGTCTAAATACTAAAGAATAATAATATTTGTTTAATTGATTTCCTCCTTTAAATAATTTAAATATCTTAATGAATGTCCGCAAAAGTTCTGTCAACTATGTTACTAACAGAACTCCCCCCTTTAACTCAAAAATTGTTTGTCCCAATACCATGTCACCAGCATCACATGATGCCATGTTCCTCTTTGGCAGACATTTTGAACACACTATGGTGATTGTCCTCACATTTTTTACAATATTTTATGTATAATAGCACATTGTCAATGAGTATATTAATTGACCATCAACAATGTTACGTACATTGTTATGGTTTACAATTGTTTAATGATTTTAATTCAATTATATGTTCAAATGTGATGTTAACCTGTTCAAGAAAATGACATGTGGTCATCCAGGCAAGGCCTACCATTGAAATGATGGGTCAAAATAGGGAAATTGTCAACTAGGTTACCTGTCAACTAAGTTACCCAGTACTGTAATAACTGTAGTAACTTAGTTGACAGGTAACTGACAATTTGTATGACATGTAGACATCATTACACATCATTATCAATTGATTTTTGCACTTCTGCCTTGAAATGAACATAGTGCTGATGGTTAATAATGTGTTCAGTCAACTATGTTATTTGCGTCAAATGTTTGACTTTCATTGTCAACTATGTTGCACCTCATTTTTTTTAATTAAAAATATCTAAAATAGTGCTTCTGATATCCTTTATTATAAAACGGACAAGTAAAATCAAGCAATCTGATTGGTTCTTAGCCGTGGTATACTGAGCGTATACCACGGGTAGAATTGTAAGTTACTTTTCACAACAACTCAGTATCCCTCCGCGTCTGAGATAAACAGTATACAGTTGGGCTGAAAAAACTGGAACAAGAAAGCAGCGGAGAAGTAACGGGGCAGAAACCCTCCTTTTTACGCAACGGTCCAGACATAGACATCAAACGGCAAAAACATATTCAGTGTGCAGTTCCTTTGGCATTAGGGCAGGGATATTTAGATACTTTCCAAGGTTTGATATAATGAATTGTGCTACTTTTAAAGCAAGCAACCATGTTTTCAAATCTGTAATCAAAAAGGTCCGCAAAAACATTTAAGATTAACTTCGAGGGGGGGGGGGGTCTTACTATGGAGGAGTGGATTGAGGAGTGCCTATCTCCAGAACAAAAAGCACCTAAACGACGACATGTAGAGCTACGTGAAGAGCAGGTAGACCAACTGGAAAAGGATCACCATTCAAAAGCTTTCTGATGCGGGTCTTGAAACAAAGCAGAGAAATGATGACCGTTAGTGGCCACAGGTGCGAAAGCTCTCTCCAGAGCTACTGGAAGCCGAATCTCGGGGACCGGAGAAAGTGGAGCAATATTCTCGCCACGCAAAGCAACAGCCTAGAACAACCTCAGCCTATACAAGTAACCACGTAAGCCATGCTACTGATGCTGGACAGTTTTTCAGTGGGTGCACAATAAACGGCAACATACACTAATGTAAATAAATAGCCAAATAATGGATCAACGCTCTCTGTCTAATATGTTCGCTAGTTGTTGTTAGCAGTGGCGGCCGGTGGTCTTTTTTTTTGGTGGGGCTCTTGACGTACCGTAAGTGACCTACCCGGGGGGTCCGGGGGGTTTCCCCCCGGAAATTGTTTTCGAGAAATGACCCCTTAAATGATGACTTCTGGTGATGTTAGAGGGGGGGGGAAAGGAGAAATCGAGGCTTAAAAATATGAGAAGACTGATCAATACCTCCATAATCTTCAGTGTGGAAAATATTATTTATCAACCTCAACATCTACTACTTTACCAGGAATTTGTGTT